AAACTCTTTGGTATCTAGAATTTTCTTTGTAGAATAGTTTTTATTATTGATTTAATTTAATTTGCAATAACCAGGTTTTTATTTCTTGTATTGGATTTAGTTTGTTAAAATATTTTCATCTAAATTTTTGAGATATGTATTTATGCTCTTCATTTATTTTTCATATCTTTGATAGCTGCATTACTTTCCACTCACTACTCATATCCAATATGTGTAATTATATTTCTTGTCTCCCAGGCTTTCTTCCCCTCCCAAACTGTATCTTGATCTGAATTTATCGGCTTTATCAGTCTTTCAAAAAAAACTTTTTGTACTGTGTTCATTCTCTTCCTTGTACTTTTCCCTGTGTTATTCTTTTGCACTTCCATTTTGCTATTTTCCACAACCTCCCCTCTCTGAGTCCCACTTTTCTTTTTTTAGCCTTCTGCCCTAGACACTTATCATTTATTAATAATTTGCATTATTTTCTCTTTTAGCTGTTTAGCAATATATATTTATTTTTTGTTGTTTCTTTCCAAAATATGAAGAATCATTTCTTTTTTTTTTTCCTCTGGCTCTTGCTTTTTCCGAGACCACAGAATGATCAATGCATTGAGAAAAGTGAGTACGTATACAGATAACATTTTTCCTTTTGTCATGGTTTCCATTGAAGACTAGTGCCCATTGTAATAGCAGTAGTGTTCTGTTCCATTTGCTCATTTATTTGCTTATTTGTTTGAAATACCTTGTCGTTTCAGCGCGTTAGTGTATAGCATGGTGATAGTAAGAAGTTTGGGACCCTATCCCTCAATGTCTGTCTCACCACAGCCTACTTTCAAACCAATTTGCTTATACCTGAAAGCGATGTCTCATTTAATACATAAAAGTTGGTGAAGTGTATAGGATGATTCGGACTGAAGATCACTGATGATCTGCATATGAATTGCATATTTTTATATACAATGATCAAACTTTATCTGATGATTCTCATTTTTTTTTCAAATTGTCAAGGTATATTTAATAGTTTTAGTGGGGGGGTCCTCCTTTTATTCAGGAGTAGAGATACATACTGAATCTTCATCTCTCATTCATTTTTTATATGATTCTCATCTTATTTCACTTGTCAGCAACATATGACTCAGATGATCAGCCTAACCCTATTTTTCTTTTTCTCTTTTTTAGAGATTTATTTGTTGTTTTGTTGAAAAGGCAGATTTACAGAGCGAAAGACAGAGAAAATGATCTTCCATCTGCTGGTTCACTCCGCAAGTGTCCACAGCACTTGAGCTGAACTGATCCATGCATTTCTAGAAATGCAGTTTAGATGAAAGCTTACCTTCTTGCATCAGAAAATTTTTATTTTAATTGATATTTACATAGCAATTTTTTTCTCTACTTTCTCCATTTTTCAACTTTTATCCTTTCTGTGCCAATTTCTGTAAAGTATGTCTCTTATAAGCAACACACATGTATATTTATTTCTCTTTGTATTTCAACAGTCTGATAATTTTATTTTCTAATTGAGAAATTCTGTACATGTATCTTTCATGCAAACATGAAATATTTGGGCTTAAATTAGATTGTTGCTATGCTGATCAACAATATTTTCAACAGACTTTCTTCTTCTCTCTCTTTTTCTATATAAACAGATTTGATTATTTTTGAGGGACAGAGGGGCCTGAATTTATAGAATCATACTGGTAGGAGGAGTGGCAAAATTCATATTCTTAATTTATGATGTATACTTCTCTTAATTAGAAAAACAAAGGAAAGACTCATCTCACTGAGAATTTATCATCCATTTGGGAGAAAATTCCACACTGAGAAATTTTCTAATATTAAAGTATTTGCAATTAGAGACCATTATGCCTAGTTAAATAAGCCAAATCCAAACAGGCAAATACTTATTTTATCTAGTGGTAGCTAATACAGAGTACAAAAGAAGGCTGTTGTTTGCAGCTCTTGCTTGCCTCTGTGGAACAGTGGCTCATCTCCCGTTTACTTGTTGAACTCTCTGTTTAGAGGAGCATTGAGCTTGTTTAATCGCAAAAAATTAAAATGAAAAAGAAAAGAATGAGAAGGGAAGGGGAAGAAACTATTACTGTGGTTTTAGAATTGTACCTGTGATAATCATGAAATCTGTTCTATATATATTAGTAAGCGTCAAAGTGCAATAAAAGAGAACTTTTTAGGAATATACTTATACGCTAAGCAAACCAATAAGGATATAGACGTTGTAGTTTATTTCTTTTTGTGTTCTAAGTAGGTTCTTGATAGAATTTATAAAACTAAATGTATATATGTATTTATCAAACTATACATCACACTAAATGTGTATATATATAATACATACATACACATATATAGAATACACATACACATGTGTAATACATATGCATTCTAGGAAGGTCCAAATAGACTGAAGGGGTTATATGAGCTACAGCATCCAGCATGAAGCTTTTTTAGTTGATATATTAGATCTGAACAAATTGGAGAGAAGGCAAAATTAGAGATGTTTCCAAAACTGAAGCTGACAGATAGAGGAGACAGTAAAGGTACCAAGCTATCTGTAGTAAAATATTTGTTTTATGGAAGAAGAATGATAGCCTAATTCTATTAACCATGTGGAGCCATGTTTAGGAAATGATGAACATCTTGTAGATATTAGTTTTCTTCTCTGGAAAGATTATTTTACAGAACTTCAATAGTTTTTCAACAAGTTTAGTCAAAAAAGAAGACATGTAGAAAAAATCTTAAAAGTTTGAGAAAACTAGTGTAAACAGATTTGTTTGCTGTGAAACTTTTTGGCACCTTTGAAGTGTGAACTGTGAATTTCCCAAATCTGTTAAGTTCAACACACTTTTGAGTTTATAAAGAACTACAATACTTTTATAAAGAATCTGTTTACATACATGGGTAAGTTGAAATATGTGGCCGTCAAGGAAAACTGAATGGAATATTACACTAACATGGAAAGTCCATGAAAACAGCACAATTCTGCTGTTTGCTTCAAAAAATTGCCTACCGAATGTTATGCTTGGCAAATTTTAATGAGATAAATTACCTGTTTTAGAACAGGACCAGCAACATCAATCTGTTAATATGCTAAAGAATGGGGTTTAAGAGAAAGGTTTTTAAAACTGAAATATTAAGAAAGAAAAGAAAGAAGCAACTGAAGTTGCCCAGACCTAAGTTTTGTTTTTTTTTTTTAATTGGATGGTGGCAGCACACTGGAAGATGGAAAATAAAATCAGTTAACAGTAATATTTTATGAAGAGAATTCATGGAGCTTGGTGATACATTAGATGGAGGAAATAAATTACTTAAGTGCCGAGTGTCTGGATGGCACTGAGAATGCAGTAACTGAAGAGAAGGCCACTTTTGTGTGTAAGATTCATTCTGTGCCTCTTGTGGACCTTCGTGACCTGGTGGATGCTCTCCTGAGTGAGTTAGTTAATTCATGAAGTCTTACTTAATATTTGAAAACTTAGAACAGCTTTTAAAATTTATTTTCATTTTATTTAAAAGGCTAAAAAACAGAGAGAGAGAGAGAATCCTCCAATTCCTGTTTCACTCCCTAAATGCCCACAGCATCTGGAATTGGACCAGGTTGAAGCCTGGAGCCCGTGTTTGAGTTATCATTGCTTCTCACCCCAAGTCCACATTATTAGGAAGTTGAATAAGAAGTGGATTCGCCAGGACCGAAATCTACTCTGAGATGTGTATATTCCTTATTAAACAATCCACTGTGCCAAATGCCTGCTCTGAGAAATTTTGTGTAAAAAAGGTTGCTAGTTTTCAGTCAAGATTGTGTTCAGAGAGTTGGATTGAAAAATACAGAAAAAAATGTTACCTTGAAAATCATGCTGAGTTCATGAAACTATACTGTGCACATATTCTGTCTTAGCCAATGAAAGCTCTTTTCTTCCAACCCAACAGCTTTATGATATCTACGTGAAAATATGTTCATTAGGATATATTAATTAGAATAACATATCTACATAAAGTATGTTAATTAGAAGTTTGAATTGTATGGTAATGGAGATTGAGCACCAATTTTGAGCTATTTCTTTTCAGAAAGACAAGTGTTCTAAGATATTAACAATCTGGATTTGAGAATTGATTGATAGGCTGCAAAACATGAAATGCAGGTTCTGTCTCACCTACATATACCTAGCATAAAGCCCAAGGAAATTCAGACTGCCGCCGTCACCCTGTAGGTTCTGATTAAACCTAATGAGCCCCGTGGGAAACAGCTGTCTCCTTTGGAAGGTGTGATGTGGTATCACAGAAGCGGTACAGATGTTAGACCCAGCTTTAACAAAATGAGGAATAACATTTTTTTTTTACTTGTTAGTCTTTGTCTCCACAAAATAAGAGCAGTAATTATCACACAAGCTAGTGGTGATAAAAAATGCTAACCAAGGTGTACTTCAGTGAAGGCGTTGCAGTTCCTTAAATGTAACTTCTTTTTCCACTAGTCGTATGTCCTGTGTTGATGTTACAAGGCCATTATCAGTGCTTCTAGGAATTTGGGAGTCCACATTTTTGGTGATTAGGAGTAACTATAGAATTAGGAGTCGCAATAGAAAAGAAAGGAATGACAATACATTCAGTGCAATACTAATTATCAAAACTGACTTAAAATTACAAGCAAGGTATGGTAGTACAGTGAATCTAAATGGTAAAGTATGGTTTTTACTGATATTAACTAGCATAGCTTTTAAATGCTTTATTTTTTTTATATTTGAGTAACAGAGAACGAGAGAGCACGTATCCACTGGTTCATTCTCAAATGTCCTCAATGGTCTTGAAGTGGAATAGGATGCAGAAATGTGCTCTGGCTCTCCCATGTGCATGGCAGGACCCTTGTCACCTTAGCCATCACTTTTGCCTGCTAGGTTGTGCATTAGCAGGAAGCTGGAGTCAGGAGTGCTGACAGGCAGTCTAATTTGTGATATGGTTATCTTAACTGGCATCTAAAACCCTGGAACTAACCGTTCTTTTTTTCCCCGCTCCAGTGAGAAGAAGCTCATTACAGATGCCCTTAATAAAAACCAGTTTCTGAAGAGACTGGATCCTCAGCAGATCAAAGACATGGTGGAATGCATGTATGGGAGGAATTACCAGCAAGGGAGTTACATTATTAAACAAGGAGAACCAGGAAACCATATCTTTGTGTTAGCAGGTAGGTTTCACAGATTATTTTTTTCTGTTGCAACAGATATTTTCTAAACATTTATAGAAATGCAAAACCAGTTGCACTATTTGTAGAAAGCCTAAGAGACTAAGTTCATGAACTAGTGAAAATGTTAATCTAATACGGTGATGTTAATATGTAATATTTGCCAAAGGGAAGAGATTTTATTTCACCTCCTGCTTGACACTATAAAGCAATTGCTGTTTCCTTCATATTACCAATGAAGACCGTGTCTCATAACCCAAAGCTACACAGCTTATTGGTAGTTAGCTACAATGCAAACTTCGGCCATTTGACTTCAGAATCCATGTGTTTAACCACAATTCCCCCTACTAAACAATTTGCCTCTATTCGGAATTTTGGTGCTATATCTTGACATTTTACTTATCTGCATAAGAAAATAATAATTTTTGTGGTTCTGTAAATAATTTGGTTATATACCAATGGTTTTGAAAAACGTTTTGTGTACAAATAACTGACACATCAAGTGGTATAGTATTTTTATTGCCATGTAAATGATTTTCTACCTTTATGATACTTTGAACATGTTTAAATAAAAAAAAATTTTATTGGCTAGAAAGTTAAAGGGTTTATTTCTCAAAAGATTTGAAGTGATTACTTCAGAAGAATGTTTCCTTGAAAAAGAAGCATGAAATTACCTAAACAGGGATTGAAATTTTTGAATACCCATACCAAATTCTGAATAGCTTTAGTTTTTGAGTTTTAGGAAAGAAAATTAACCTAGCGCAGGCAGATGGAGTGATACTCTGAGACATAGAACTTTCTATTTTTCATTGTATTTCCTGATCAACCAAGCAATGCTTTTATTGCTTGGGGTCTTAGAGTTAGGACAGAAATAGCCTATGTAAAATGATAGCACTTGTATACTCTATTCCTGGCATGTGAAAAGCTGCTTTCATCTACTTTTATTGTTTAAACATGACAGGAATGTAATGATTTGCATCCAATTTGTGGCATACACATTTGTGAGCGCCTTTAACATTATGGAGCCATGAGTGATTATTCTAATCAAGCAGCAGAGTCTATCCTGAATTAACCAGGTTTCCGTTTTAATGGGTCAGATAAACAGCAGTTTTTCTTTCCTGCATTTGGTGGTTTCACAGATACTTCATCAACAATAGAGCTTTCTGGTAAGAGAATATATGTGATCAAGCCAACAAACATTTGTGAAATGTACTAAAATGGATGTGAAACTGTTGTCATCCTGTCTTGTTTCTTGCCACGAACTCTAATGAATGGTTTTTAGGGAAAAGAGGTTGAGCGGAAGTCAGTATCAAATCTGCTTTTGAGATCAGGATTGTACATGGAAATGAAAATTGGATGCTTTCTTGTTTGAATTAATTACAATATCATGTAAGGACTGAATAGCCTGGTTTAATTATCTGGTTGAGCAAATTAATTTTGCAATTAAATCTCTTCCCTATATCAAATATAGCATGGATAGCAAATTGTAAAATCATATTTAGCTTAAACTTTTGCTCTCCCATATAATTCTTCACCACTGCTCAAGTTCTGTGAGCCATAACCAATTAGAAAAATCCTTGGGCTGTGTTAACATCAATGGTGTCAACTGAATATTGAGTGGTGTCAACTGGACATTAAGCAGTTTTGATGGAGTAAAACTTAGCCGTAATGGGAAGCTATTAAAATGCGTATCTAATCTGTGCGATTTGTGAGGCTTTTTCTTACAGTGATATAAATGCTGTCAGATGAAACATCTTTTCTCTTATGTCCACTGTGACGCTGGCAGATACACTGAATGAATGGACAGAGAGAGATAATTAGTGGAGATTTAGGAGAAAGAGACTCATTCTTAGATAAAAGTCTTTACCTCACCTTTTTTTTCTTCCTCTCAGAATTTAAATGCATTTTGCTTATAATTTGGGTTGCAAAAAGTTTTGTTTACATTTGCTTGAAAGGGATGAAAGCAAAATCTTGGCAGAACAAAAAAGTTGTTGAAAGACTGATGAAGCTCTGCCTGTCCCTATCTCCATTTGTCTAAGTACTGAAACATGCTAAGCACTTTTCTGAGTGTCTCACATTCTTAATTCATATGAGCAGGTCTTCCAAAGCTTATGGAAATTACATGTTATAGAAACAAAACTATGCATGCACCTCAAAATTTCTGCACCAAGATAAATTTATCTTTCAATGGTATTTTTCATAAAGTTATTTATGTAACTTTGCCTTACATTTAAATGAGCACTGTTGAAAGCACTATGAAGTCACTTGCCAAGGTCATTCAGCCAATGACTAGTAGAGCCATGACTTAAACCAGGCAATAGGGCACTGACTGTCATCACAAGCTGTGCTTCCTTTAGTTTGAACAACTCCACTGTGATTTCAAGACACATAGTGATTGCTGGGCTTCTAGTAAAAGGGAAATAGTTTAATCACATAGCCTTTAGGTAGGATTGAATGCTTCAGGAAAGGAGATATGTAACAATGTTTAAGATACATGCAAGTGTTAACAATAGCTAATTTGTAGCATTTCTTCCTTTCCTCCATGCTAGCTATTATTTTAGGCTTCCTACTATCTTAACTTAATTACCACAAAGACTATGAAATAGTACTATTAATTATGATTATCTCCATTATCAATATGGAACTCTAGACAAAATGAAAATGCTCTGCAAGTGACTCAGCTAATAATGAATAGGTAGAAAGAGTCAAATTTAGTCTTCACTCTCAACTGCTACATTATAATGCAAATAATAATCATGTGTATATAGATACATATTATAAATTTTCTGGTTTAAAAAATTTTAATGGAATCCATGCATATTCTCATTATGTGTGTATGTTTGAATTCTGTTTATAGAGGGACGATTAGAAGTATTCCAAGGAGAGAAATTGCTGTCATCCATTCCTATGTGGACCACATTTGGGGAACTAGCCATTTTATACAATTGTACCAGAACTGCTTCTGTGAAAGGTAGGACAAGATAAAATGCCATTTCAGGATTATTACACAATGTTAAAGGTATTCTAGGTGAATCATGACTGTATCCTGTATTCCATTTTTTTATCAGTCATTTTCTCCAAATGCTCTTATTAATAAAAATACTCATGACAGAAACTAAATTGAACACTTGTCTAAATAAAGATAAAAGTAACTTTTTACATTAAGTAAATCCCTACAAAATATAAAAATGACCTTAAGCAAAATGAATTCAATATGTACATTTTAATATTCTTCTCTGTGGACATCTGCATAATTTACTTTCTCATCTCTGTGAGGATCTACAAATTGGAGACAAAAAATTAATGCAAACAATGAAAAAGTACAGATATCAAAAGGGATAAGAATTAGTAAAATGAGAATCTACACGTGTGATTTTGAGGATTTCTACTGTTTTGACTTTGTTCATAGTAAGCTTGAGTTCTCTCCTGAGTTATTTAGATGTGTTGTTTCTCAATGTTTTGGACTAGAGTCATGTGTATTAACACAGAGGAAGTATTTGTAAAGTGTAGATTGCATGACACCACTTCTGCATTGGATTCCAACATGATCTCAAGCAAAACAAATCAAAACAAAACAAAATCGAGGGAGGGGAGGGTAAAGAGTTATATGACAAAACTTAAAAACACACTGTAGAGCTACACTAATTAAAACAACATGATTTTAATGTAAAATAGATACATCAACCTATGGAACAGAATAAAGAATCTATAAGTAAACTCATTTGTACATAGCCATTGATACTCTTATTAAAAAATATTCATTTTATTTACTAGAGGGAATGACAGACACAGCAAGAGAGATGGACAGATCCAGAGAGAAATACTTCTCTCCACTGGTTCACTCCTCAAATGTTCCCAACAACTGCATGTATCTCTTGTGTAAGCCAGGATCCTATAATCCCTTCCTGGTCTTCCACATGTCTGGCAGCGGCTCAAGTACTTGAGCCATCTTCCACTCCTTTCCGAAAGTATTAACAGAAAGCTGGATTAAAAGTGTAGCAAAGATGACTCAGTTTAGTGCTCTATTGGATGCCATAGGTGGTGACTTAATCCCCTGAACCATAATGCTGGCTTGATGCAGACACTGATCTTTGGAAAAGCAGCTAATAATATGTACTGGAGAAAGGGAGTTTTTCTTTTTTTAATAAATAGTGCTGGAAAAATTGGATATGCATATATGGAAAAATGAAACGGAAAGCCTGCCTTTTCCCCCCATTTCTGACCTTGTTAAAAAACAATTCAAAATGAATTAAAAATCTGAATGTAAATCTTGGTGTGAAGGAAAAAAAAAGACTTGAGATGATAAAACTACTAAAATTAAAGGTAGGAGATACAAGAAAATGGGCAAGGCATTTTTGGATCAGACTTCAAAATCACAGGAAATGAAAGTAAAAATAGACACTTAGATTTTATAAAACTGAAATCTTCATAAAGCAAAAGAAACAGAATAGAAAACTGCAAAGTGGGAAAAGTTTTGCAAGATTTACATCTGGCAAAGGTTACTTGTCACAATATCTCAGGTTCTCAAGTAGCTCAATCAGAAAAATAAATAATCCGGCTTAAAAATGAGCTGTAGCAGGGCAGCATATTGACTGAATAAGCTCATCTTACACCTGCAGTGCCAGCATTACAGACGGGTATTGGGTCTAGTCCTGGCCGCTCCACTTCTCATCCAGCTCCCTTCTTATGGTCTGGGAAAGCAGCAGAGGATGACTCAAGTCCTTGGACCCCTACACACATGGGGGACCAGCTTTGGATTGGCTTAGTTCTGGCCATTGTGGGTATTTGGGGAGTGAACCGGTAGATGCAACACTTATGTCTCCTGCTTGGAGAGCTTCCTTTCAAATAAAAATAATTTAAAAAAAAAAAGAGAAATTAGACATATACGAAAAGAATTTTTACAGATTTTGTGTTTGTGGTGTCATGAAAGCTTTTTCTAATGTGTTATTTCTATCTTTTTCCCTCTTGCTTTCAAATAAAGTCTTTGGGAAAAGAAACGAAGTTGCTCTACTGTGATAGGATGTTGATTAGCAGAGCCTGGGAAGAGCCTAGGGATGGGGAGAGAAGGATAGGGAAATGGAGATTAACAAGTATTAAGTTAAGAGTAGATAAGAGTAATAAGTTTTGGTGGCCTGTTTCAGTGTAGGGTGATCATAAATAATAAAAGTAAATTGTGTGTTTTTCTTTAAAAACTAGAAGAGTGGGCTTTGAATGTTTTCATCACAAAGAAATAATATACATTTGGGGAGATAGATATCTTTTTCCTGATTTGGAAATTAAACAATGTATACGTGTGTTGAAAATCACATGATCTTCATGTGTATGCCTTATTCTCTGTCAATTTAAAAATGAAATAAAAACCATAAAATGTACAAATTCTGGGGTCCCAACTCATATCCTCAAGCAGAATCTCTAATGAGATATTACAGAAAGCTGAGTCCCTGTCCCCAGTCCCAGATCAAAACGAGGAAGGAGCTTTGGGGGGACAGAGGAGAGGGTTGCAGACCGCCGATCTCAAGACTGCTGCTCTTCTGAACGAAGGTTCCTTGAGGTTTATAAAGGGGCTATAAAGCAGGGGGTGCTGGGAAGGGCAAAGCCAGGTGATCCACTAGAACTGCACATGCGTACATGTGTATACAACGTGTAACAAACACTTTACGGTAATCGTCATTGCCCTCTTTGTCACTGCCCTGGGGCTGCAGGCTGCCAGCTGAGCTACTGTGCTCTCTTAGCTCCTTGACTGTGTAAATAGACTGTTCTGAGCTTCAGTCACCCCGCTGTGCCATATGCCAGGAACCTAGTACCTTCATTTGTTTATTTGGTACCCATTAAGGGATTCATATTTTTTAAAAAAAATATCAAGAGATCTCTAATTGACTGTAAAGTTTGGTAAATTGGAGCTTTGTAAGCTCTTATTGCTTTTTTTTTTTCTTAATCTTGTAACTAACATGGCATATAGATTTTGAATTAGAGCTGTTATTTCTACTGCACTTTCTTTTCATGTTTCATTTGCCTTTTATGAATTTCCTATAAAAATTCTCAAAAGCTTTCTAATTCTCCTAAAAGTTGTGTGTGTGTGTGTGTGTGTGTGTGTGTGTGCACATTTTATGCAAGGTGGCCATGGAGACCCTTAATTTATATGGACACTTTTGTCATCACATCCAGTCGTGAAAAGATACAAAGACATACATACACTGACAAAACTTTTAGCTCTCTGCATGTGAATTCCGAACTCTGAGTTAGCTACTGGCTGGCTGCTTTAATCACAGTGTGAGTCTGAGATGCTGCCTAGTAATAGAATGCATTATTGAGAGCCTGTAAACTGGATTGAATAGCATCCAAACCAAAACACAATCAGGAAGAAAATCTTATACTACTCATTTCCAAATCATGGTCCATTTTAAAAATCAAAATGATATGTAAATTACCATTTATTTATTTATTTTAAAGATTTGTTTATTTTTATTGGAGAGACAGAGAGGAAGATGTTTCACCTGATGGTTCACTCCCCCCCCAAGCAGCCACAACGGCTGGATCTGAGACAATCTGAAACCAGGAGCTTCCTCCGGGTCTCCCACACAGATGCAGGGTCCCAAAGCTTTGGGCCATCCTCAATTGCATTCCCAGGCCATAGGCAGGGAGCTGGCTGGGAAGTGGGGCTGCTGGGATTAGAACCAGTGCCCATATGGGATGCTGGCGCATTCAAGGCGAGGATCTTAACCTCTATGCTATTGCGCTGGGCCCAATTACCACTTGTTTAATTGCCTCTTTCTATTAGGCTGTGTAAATAATGTACCTTGTAAGAAAAACCAATATCTGAGAATACAATGCAAATCCATGAATTGTTTTGCAATATATCCTTCAAGGGCACTAAACAATATTTTATTGTGTTGTTGCATTTTAAAAGCTATCACCAATGTAAAAACATGGACTCTGGACCGGGAGGTTTTCCAGAATATAATGAGGAGGACAGCCCAAGCTAGAGATGAGCAGTACAGAAACTTCCTCAGAAGGTAAGAACACACTAGGGTGAAGGGAGACCATGATGTGGCCGTGTCCTGGATACATTGATTTTCCAGAAAAAAAAGTTTACTATGAGCTTCTCTCATTAAACATTCCCCACGTGAATAAGCCAAAGGAGTATGAGGATGCCTTTGTTGTAAACACCCATATATATTAAAATCCTATTCAGTCTCCACTAGCCATGTGCACTGGTTTATTTCCTCTGCTAATCTTTATCCTTAAATCGATGAAGCCAGAGTGTGTATTCTGGAAATATTTGCAAAAAATCCTAAAAACATTGTTCCTTGATTGCTCTCTTGACTTTAGAGTAGTATTAGAGTTGATGGGTTAGACTATCTTTGTTTACTTTTCCTAAGACATCTTATCTGCATAACTATAACACCTTCCAGATAACTATGAGGGATAGCAAATTAACCTGCCCAAAATGTTAATGATACTTGGTCTGATGATGTGGATCTTTAGAGTGTACTTAAGTGTGACCAGTTCTGCCCCCAATAGCTGGAATGTGGCCATTTATAAAGAAGCAAATGTTTAATTAACAAAGTTCCATTAAACATTTTTCAAGAGTATGAATTCATTATTAAAGCTGTTTTTATAAGGTCTCTGGGAGTTTTGACAGCCTTAGAAGCTGTAATACATACTGTCATGAAGTGTTACTTTTGATAAACGGTAAGAAAATAAAGTATCCTGAAGTCCCCCAAAACAAGTTCTGCTTACCAACAGTATCATCTTGCATACCAGCAAATTGGAGACTTAATCTTGCATATCAGCAATTTTGTGATTGTCCTATGGTGCCTTGCCTATAGTGAGAACTGAATAACCATTGAATAAACACATTGTAAATCAGTATAACATCGCAGCTGTCAGAGCTTCCCACATAAAATCATGCTTGTTTGCTCCTCAAGATGCAATAATCTCTGCAGAGAGCTGCAATGTTGACAAGGCGGTACCGGACCTGCAAGACAGCCAGCCCCTTAGCTGTCCAAATTTGGACTCTACCCGACAATAGGTGAACTCAAAATCCAACAACAAAGTAATAGAATCAGTAATGAAAGCTAATGTCACATTTATGCAAGATCCATAAAGGGATACAAAAATGGGCACTTGCCCATAAGTTATAACTGAGAGAAAGTGTGAAATATGTTATTTTAGTGCAAGGAGCTGAGATAATCTACTGGTGCACATCTCTTTTTTTTTTCTTTTATGCCTTATTTTTGTTACTTCATTCATTCTTTAATTTCTTCAATACGTGTTAGTTGTCAGATACTACATACTGTGATGAACAAGGCACACCTGATCCCTGCCTTCATAAAGTAGAGCAGACAGCAGATTTTCTTCATATCCCTTTCTTGAACCATCCCCAAAGGCGACGGGTTTATAAAACAGAATTTTCACTAACTTCGTAGGACCTGGTTTGGAACACATGATGAGCATGTGTTAATCAATGAGAAATGATTGTTACTTTTGCCACTGGAACACAAATGCCCAGGAAGCTATTTCCGAAAGAAGAGAAAGCGAGCAGTGTTGACACTGCCCCACGGGACTTGCACTTTTCTGACCTGTCCCTTCTGCATGAGATTACTGTAACCCCAAGGAGCAGAGATCATTCCATGGGCGTTCTTCATATTTTTGCCCGTCATTTGATTTGCTTAATTTTTAAGTTTTATAAAAATGGTGTTATTTTGGCAACTCAGGTTTTTATTCAGTATTTTTTCTAGGATCTTCTGCTGTTACTTCAGCCGTTTGTTTCAGCTCTTGCCGAGTTTCATCACAGGACTATTTGATTTTTCCTCCCAGGACTTGTGGAGCTTGTTTGGTGTTTTGCAGTTACAGATATTTTTGAAGCAAACATTCTTGAGTGTGTCTCCTGCCCACGTGCCTTCCGGTGCAGCTGAGTCAGCCTGGAGTTCTTTGCCTTTTCACTTACTTGGAGAGCAGTGGCTTTTTTTTTTTTTCCTTAGCGGGTTTCAAATTTTAGATAGCAAGCACAAAATGTTTATCTTACAAAATGTTATTGATGGTTCTGAGTTAAAATGAGCAAAGGAGCAGAGCAGTTTTGTTGAATAGAATCATTTCATTCTGTGAATTGCCTGATCATTGTTAATGAAATGTGTAATTAAAAAAAATAATTAGTTTTGGTATTCTAGTCCATTATTTATTTGTTGTTATTATATGTAAATGTGTTCTCCTTGCATGGCTGTCATTGTGACTGATAATCAAAGATCATTTCAGCGCTAGCTTCATGTTCCCTCTGGTTTCAGTCCTCATTTCATTCAAGGATTCAGATGACATTCTGACCCTCACTCAAGCCAAACAGAAAACATTGATATGGGGAGGGGAACCCATTTCTGGATGTGATTAATTTTTAAAACTAACAACAATTGTTCAATGTTCCCACCGCATAGACACACTATGGTCTTATTTATGATATTTTACTGGTTTCATTTATGTTATGAATGTCTATGATCCTATAATTCCCAATGACTATTATATTCAGCTGCTAACCTGTTTTCAGTAATTGGGAAGCTTCCTTTGGAAAATTAAAATGAATTATACTTTTAGAATGCTATGAAATAGACGGTCTAAGTCTGTATTTATAGTTTAGTACAGGGAGATAATTTTAAATAGGTTTTTAAAAGTTTCTTTTTAATTTTGAAGTGTATCCTTGCTGAAGAATTTACCTGAAGATAAATTAACCAAGATCATCGACTGCTTGGAAGTGGTAAGAAATTTTAAAATGAAAGTCATTCGAAGATTCTAGAATCTAGTCATGTCATCAACAATGAAAATGAACAAAAAGGAAAGAAAAGTAGATCACCAGCATACAGAAAGCAGGAAACTTTTCTTTGTGACAAACCTTAAGCTAACTTAGACTGCTTAAAGGGGCTGGGGAAAGCGTAAGCTCTACTAAAATGTATCAAAAGAAAATGAATGTGTGTGTGTAAAGTGAAATTTGATTTAACACTTTCATCTTTTAGTATACTTTGTGAAAGTAGTTCGCCTTACTTGTGGCGTTTGATTTTCTCCAGTTAACATCATCATCCCATACACTTTCATAGAGTCAATGAGGCATACGTAGGGACTGGAGCAGAGAAGCGGTGTGTTGGTGCTTCTGGTGAGAAGCTTCTGAATCAGACTATGAAACACTGTATACATGAACTTGCTAAGCCATGAAAATGCTTTTGAAAATAACCTATGCTTAAGAAGCACTCTACCTATTTTAACATCTAGGGGAAAACAGGATATTGGAATGTATTCAAAAACTCATTTTAGGCATCACCCAGATGGTTGGTTTGGGTCCAAGATTAGTCAAGTCTTTTCATGAATAATGCTTTTATGATATGTACCTCAAGTTCTAGTGATATGCATTTGATGAAAACCTGTTCAGATTTCAGAGATTAAAATTCAAAGCAAATCGCCTCTCTTTTTGGAGACTCCATTTCCTCGAAACCAAAAATGACCTTTATGGAATTTAAAAGAGACCGGGAATAGTCAAGGAATCATATGGAGATGTTAAGCATTTATAAAGCTGTTCTCAGCGGGCGGTGGGGGGAAAACCCACAAGACTGATTGTGGAAAGATTCATGCTTCTGTCTGTCACAACACACAATGTAAACTAATGCCTGTTGGGAAGGGAGTGGGGACCATTGTGTGGCTTAGTGTAAGCGACACCAGTGATGTTTCCAGTTACAAGTCGTGGAACCCATCCAGCAGTTTATCAAGGACAGACCATGATGACACAGTGCCTGGGCCTGTGTCTCCAGGGGTTCATTTTCAAGAAGTCTGTTTACCCCACATCTCTTGGGATTTTCGCAGTGTAACATAACCCAATCACAGATGTTACAAATTAATAATTCATCCTAATTTCTGAGGGTGTTTTTACTTAAAGCTGGAAAAGTCCTGTATTTTTTTTTTGTTACCCAAGGAAATCTGTTTTTAATATAATATTAGTAGAGTAGATTCACCAGAAGGGAATTTCATGCTGGCAGAAAATATGAAAATTTACTATCATTAAAAATAAATGGCAAATTAGACATGTTTATAGCAGCCATGGGCAATAGCTACAGACTGTTTAGATGGGGGGGAGGGGAGGAGGCTCAGATCCAGCATTAATTAACACACAATACAAGTTTAAAAGTCTCATCTTTTCATACTCCCTGGCAAAGTTTTAGGCTATCTCAGCATTCCCAAACAGCAGCACAGTTAATAAAGGGCTCTTTATTCATACCTAGCAAGCACATACAACTCTGAAATGTGTGAACAATCTCAAATGTGAAAGTGATTAGCAAGGGAGTAATAGGATCCATTTAGCTCTAAGAAAACCACATAACTTTAGCAACATAGCCTGGACTAATGACCCATCAACAGGGACCTGACAACAGCCAGTCCCCAGTGCACCAGCGTTTTCACAGCCTACCCGCTGAGTTCCAAGGCTGGCTGTCCTACATACTGGCTCCAAAGTCTTTGAGAAAAACAGGCTGAATCTGTCTGTCATACTGTTTAACAGTTGATTTGGGAACTTCCTGGGGGTGTTAGGTTGGGATGAGAGTTGCACAGATCAATGCTTTAGAATTTTTCATCACCAAATAATTTATCTAATGTGTTTGCGGACTTAGACCAGGGAACTCCTACTCCAAGTTGTGGTGCTTGTGCAGAGTTCCAATATTCTCATTGTACCTTAAATGGCTTAGAACATTTAGTTCTAAAGGCAATTGTTGACTTAAAGCCTCTTCTTGCATTCTGATGAGAATATCAGAGTGGGACTAATAATAATAACATTCTCGCTGATGTGCTTTTACGCTGATGTTGTGGCATAATTGCTTACACTGCCTTCTGTGATGGAGGCATATAAGTACAACTTCCTGTTTCCCATGCAGCTTGCTGCTAATGTGACTGGAAAAAGCAGTGGAAGATGACCCATGTGCTTGGGCCTCCGCAGCTATATGGTAGACCCATGTGAAAATCCTGATTCCTGGCTTTGGCCTGTCTCAACTCCAGTCGTTGAGGCCATCTAGGGAGAGAACTAGAGTGGAAGATCTCTTTCACCAACCTCTGTCTCTCTGTCTCTATAAGTCTTTGAAATAATAAACCTGAAGAAAATAGAAAACTGATGAAAACCCTATAGCATGATAGTAAAATGACTGATGGTAAGAAAGATGATAATGTGACCTTTGCCTGGCAGGTGTGTAGGACAAAAGATGGGGTGAAAGGACTTCATGATATTGTACATCCTAGACGCAGCGATTCATACAGAAAGAATGGGATTTGATGTTGCTGTCCTGAATTACCAATATTGTCGCTGATCCTAAAGTTCCCTGACTCTTACAGTTTTTAGGCCACCTTTCACAAAGCACTGGGTGGAGGTAGAGTAAAGTGGAGTTGTGTTAAATGTAGTTGCTATTATTCAGTTCAGCAGTCCTGGTGGTTAAAAGGCAGATTCACAGATAACAAGCTGCACTAATTGGATCACAAATTCCATCGAGGGTCCCAAGTTCAGATTTCAAAACTTTATTAATGCAATGCTTGTGCTTATGAAGTTTGAGAAGTCCCAGTGAAGTTATCGCTAGGACATGTATATTTAGAGTTTGTCATCTTCTGCCTCTTTGTTCAAGAATGTTCCATCTTTAGTATTTTTTAAGTTTAATTGCTTTTTCTTTTTTATTTCTTACTAACAGTTACAATAAGACAGAGAGGTTTTCTTATTTTATTCATTATGGCTAAACCCACAAGCAAATTGAGATATCTGCAGATTTTAACAGGTTATGGACCAGTGGGGTTGTAGGATGGTCACCAGCCCTAAGAATGGAGAATACAGTTGTGGTCCTAGCTGTGTCACTAGCAGGTATCAGTTAATTGTAGTGGGCATTGCAGTCTCCTCAGACACAAAATGAAGGTCTTGGGCCACATCTTCATTATTTAAATTACAGAATTCTATAACTTTGACAATACAACTTCATTATTATTATACAAATGATTAGAAATCATTTTGATTTTCCTTTCATAGGGTAGGATCTGGTTCCTTGGACAAAATCAGTCACTCAGACCTGAGTAGTTAACAGCGTCCAGCTGGTCCACATGTGTTGCTTGAAAATTTCTAAGCTATTATAACTATTATACTTGGAGAATTTACACACACACACACACACACACACACACACACACACACACACACATCTAGTAGCAACCCAAGTAAATACAAACGTTTTTCAAACAACAATCCTGGATACTTAGGCACATGGTACACGGAAGGATGTGTATACATAGGTCAGTGTATAATGCCTCTGGTTGTATATTTTCAACACTTAATTGTCATGAGAATTCTACTCACACATGGAAGATTCTGAGGAAGCAATAGGCTTGCTTCTTTGTGTTTCCCTTCCATAAGCTTGTAATTTGCTCTGGTTTTACAGACCATGCACAGTCTCTGAGGATCCAGATTTTCCTAGATTATCACCAAATGAGCATATTGTTTACAGAGGAAAAAAAAACTCCATCTTTAACTTTTTCTATTTTTACAATTTCTTACTGTGTTCTGCCTCTCACTCTAACCTTGAAATTGAGTTCCTTATTTTTCTTTGTTACCACGTACCAAGTAACTCCTCTCAAAGTTTTAAGACAGCTTCCTTTATTTTTATTTTAAAAATATATATATATATATATTTTATATATTTATATATATATTTGCAAGACGGGGTGACAGCCAGAGAGACAGAGAGAGATAGAGTTGCAGAATCTCTGGTGTTTGGTTCACTCCATAAGCACCTTCAGTGACTTTTCTGTGTCAGACTGAGGCTGGGAGCTGAGAACTCAGTCCAGGCTTCCCACATGGTTGACAGGGAATCAAGAAAAAAGCTGCCATTTTCTGCTTTCTCTCAGGGTCTACATCAGCAGGAAGGTAGAACTGGCAACAGAGGTGGTTAGCAAACAAAATGGAATGCAGACATCTTCGACACCACGTCAAATGCCTACTTCCAAACGACTTCTTTTAAATCATGTTTTTCAGACTGTAGGTTATAATGCATTACAAGGTCATGAAACTGACTTAGAGGATCATTTTTTAAAAACTGAAGTAGTAAGCATTCTTTTGAAGACTGTGTTTTATTTTTTTCTTGCAGAGATGTTTGTATGTGTGCATGTACTTGTATGTGGTTTGGACATGCATGTAAAAATGTAAAATGTACTTCTGGCTATAGATCAGGGTCATCACTCTACAAGATAGTGTCTGTGGCTTATTGCTTCTCTCGGCGGTCCCCGTGCAGTGTAGCCATACGGAAATAACTACATGATTTGTGTTTCTTTTTTTGGTCTTGTTGACCACCCTGGCTCATCCAGCTGTCCTCTTTGGTTGACAAACACTGGGCAGTTTAGCATCACAGTCAGTACTCACCATTATATACTTTTGGTCTGACCTATTTCCACAGTCTTTTCTGATGTATGAAGTTACTGTCAACACACTGGGAGGCATTATTTATCTTCCGTCCATGGTTTGGGGTGACAAAAAGTCATCCTGGGGAAAAACACCACTAGGAATGTTGTCCCTTAAAAAGCAGTGTTCCCTTTTAGACGTTCTCCCTTTGCCTGGATCTTGCTAACAGGAATTAGGGCCACACCTCTGTACACATGCAAGGCTGTGCCAACTGAGAAGCCGTCTCACAGCTCTTGGCAATTCTCCATGTGGATACCTGAGAGTGAGATTTGGGAACAGGAAGGACCTAGGAACAGGGACATCTAATAAGACCACAGCCATTTTAGCAAGGAGAACACTAGCTACACGATGAAGACTCCTAGAGTATAGTATTGTGGCTGCTCTTTCAGGGTTACGGCCATGTCCTCAGTGGACTCTAAGCTGTATGTTGTGAAAATTTGTACTAGATCTGGAAAGTGAAGTGCTAGAGTCATCAAATCCTGATGCAAAGAAACTCACAATATTGTTGTTTGAGGAAAGTAGAAATTTGCTCCTATTCAAATAAATCCAGAAAAAAATAATCATGGTTTGATCCTAGCTGTCACTCAGGAATCCAAGCTCATGGATTCTCTGCCATTTCAACATGATTTTCCAGAACTCTCTGGCCCTTGTCACTCCAGTTTAGAAAACTATGTGAAGACACGTGTGTGAAAGTGTTCATGAACCCGGCCTGGCACATATCAGTTCCGGTTAGACTGTTTCAGCAAGATGTTAATCACATGACTACAGCTACCGGCAGGGAGACTGTGGAGTGCAATGCACCTGAATAGTGATTAATCCCATGGAAGGCTTGCATGACTATCTTGTAACCTTTTAGACAATATTTCACACTTCATAGTTCCCAGTGCAAAAGCTCCACTGGAAGCTTTAGCTTTGCTATCTTATCTACTTCTCAAGCAACATGAGGTGTGGTCCACAGTGCAATCTTCATTTGACACAACAGAAAATTTATGTCTGGATGTAACAGCTAAGCAAATCTTTATCACCCTCTCCTTAATGTGACAATCATTACGTCTTTGCTGTGCTAGTAATGCCCTTAGTGCCTTGAAAGATACTTCCTTTGTTTGGTGTTGTGCTAAAGAGAAGTGTCCTTCCAAAGGTCCAGATCTAATCTCTAGACTGTGATGGTGTCCTTATGTGGCACAGGGAACTCTGCAGATGCACTTAGGATTGCAGATATTAAAGTAAGAGATGGAGAAGTGGAAGCTAGAGAATTTCTGAGAGTGGGAATTGGAAGTGCTATTGGCAGCTCTCAGTTATAGATAGCTCAGGAGCTCAGAGTCTTGCCTCACAGATAGGCAGTGAAGGAAAAAGGACCTGACCCTACAACTGAATCCTAATAGCAACTCCTGTGGTCTAGAAAGAGGACTTTCCCCGTGTCTCTTCAAAGTGACCCAGCCATGCTGCCACTGTGTGTGCAGTCAGCAGACGACAATGGGGAAACAAGCTAAGTCATGGTGTGCCTGGACTTTCTGACCCATAGAAGCCAAGAGATTGTAAAAAGATGTTGTCAGCCATGATGACTATGGTTATTTATGCCGGCAACCACCGAAAACCAATGTACTACTCTAAATATTTAAAGACAAGTGTTTCCATTTTAATTTTAGGGGTTGATGAAAGTAAAATGCAAAACAGAGGTTGGATTTGAACCTAGATCTACTTGACTAGAAAGTATTTTTCACTCCTTCAGATATTATGCATTCTTTCATAAGATGGTGAAGTGTCTTATATAGGTAGCACTATGCAAATAAAAGGTATGATTACTAAACATAGCAGTAATATTCATGCTTTAAGTGTAAGAATATGTTGAGAATAAATATCTATGAAAATATTGGAAGACAATTAAAAATAGTTTAGTTTGGGATTTATTTTTAACCCCAGAAGAACGTAAGAGTTGTTAAGTTTTAATTATGCCACTAAAAATATTTAGCAGTTTAGTTTGTTTGCACAAATAATTAAGTGATGCACAATGGTTTTGTGACAAGATCAAACTGAAGCAAAGTAGGAATGGACAGTTAATCCATCATGATGTTTTTAGTTTTATCTTATAAGCATTATTTTTTCTAAACTCTAGAGCTGAGTTTCAGATTATTGCTAATTGCCAAAACAGTTTATAGCTACCTGATTTAGGTGAGCCTCACCTGCATTTCAGCAAGTGTCTTGTTTACATTTCAATTTCTGTTGAAGGTCCTTATTCTTGAAATTCGATGTTTCCAGGGAAGTAGCGTAAGTTTCAATAACACATGAAAATTCTCCTTTCTACAGTTTATGACTGCAAGATAAGAAAAGCTCACAGTTGTCATAAGCAGAAGCAGGTGTGGACGTGAGGAACTGTGTTGAGTGTTGTCTCAGTTGCACATCTCCAGCCGATCTATTCTTTTCTTTCTCTCCCATCCCAACAGGAATACTATGATAAAGGAGATTACATCATTAGGGAGGGTGAGGAGGGAAGCACCTTTTTTATCTTGGCAAAAGGAAAGGTAAATCTTAATTGCATTTTACTTCTAACAAATCAAAAATGTGTCTTTTTTCCTATAAATGAAAAAATGCTCATGTCCGTATTATAAGACATTCTTTACATTGAACAAGTAAACGGGCATCTACTAAAAGTCCTAAAGTTGTTGTCTTAATGCTGAGTGTGCAGGACAAGCCACAAGGAAAGGAGTTCTATCTGAGACAGTAGCATCTTAGAATACCCTAGTCCTTGACTTTCTGTTTACCTAGATTTGTTGTGTATAACATGGCTAGTTTATTTGTCAAATCTCTACTACCTATAAGTGTTTGATGTACCATCAGCCCAAGAGTCCAAGAACATTTCCCCATTCAACCATTATGCCAAACAACAGGTGGAAGAGAATAAATTCATTAAGACCAGCCTAGACAGGTATGAAGTTATAGGACCAATATAACACCACTTACAACTCATACACAAATAAATTAAGTTGATTAAGGTGTCCATGCAAACTTTACTCTGCAGGTAAAAGGTAATAAGTAAAAGTTTTAATTAAATCTCAAATGGATCACACATTGCCAGATGTTTCTGTATTGACCATTAACAATGTTCCTCAAAGATTAAAACACACACACCCACAAACAATGGGAAATATTGAAGGAAAGAGTTAAGCTCTTGAGCACATGAGTTTATAAACTGTTAGATTTTTCAAAATGTTCCTTCTTCCACGGAAGATGTTATCCTCAAAGAGTCAGGCACTGCCCTTTGTAAACTGGTTTGTGGTTGAACTTTAAACGGGGCCCCCAGGTGAAGGAAACACATGAACGAAAAGTTTCAAGTCTCTGAAGTCTCCAAAACTCAGAATCACTTCTCACCATTTCCCGCCCCCTAAAGCTAGATCCTATGGTTTCTAGAATTCCAGCTAACAGGCACGGGCATTCATCACTTTTATATTTTAATTTTTAATTCACCATGACATATAAAAATGCTGATGAAAATTTCCAGTCAACAAGAAGCAACTTTTTTACTGTGGTGAATTGAAGCAATTCTAGACACAGAAGGGAAATTTGAGGCTTTGATTGGCTTTGCATTCAATTTTATGGGATTTATAGAGTCCCACCAATCTGTGTATACCAGATTTAGAACTCTCAATATTCCTCAGCCTTATTCTTGATTAATGTGTCAAATCTATTAGGTCTTTGGAACATCAAAAATTTCCACAGAACCATTGCTATTTTCACTGAGCATCACTGAGAAAGTGATTACTTTCTACAAATTCAGTTTGAAAGGTGGGTTTGAATGGGATAGCCTTAATCTTAGAATAATTTCTTTATAAGGCAAGGGACTCCCCACGACCATCAAAATGTGCTGAGTGTAATAGACTGATGTAAGATTGAAGCAAAAGCTGTCTTTTATATTGGTCATCAAGGTTATCCAAATCTAGAGGGTTTGGTTGAAGACAATGTGTTCAGCTTCTCCTTTGTAATCTCTCTCTCCTCTCCCTCTCTGACCTTGTTCAGGTAAAAGTCACACAGAGCACAGAGGGCCATGATCAACCACAGCTGATTAAAACGCTGCAGAAAGGGGAATACTTTGGAGAGAAAGCTCTTATCAGGTAAATGCAGGATTTTTTTTCCCCACCAGACTTCAATAAAATGCATTGGTTGTTTTGCATGTGAAGTCATTCATTCAGAGTTGTCAAATTGAGCTGCCCGAGTAATGGCAGCAAATATTCAGGGATAAAGAAAAATTACAGGTTCACTTCTTTTAAAAATTGTTATGTTGTATTGGTAATAAATATACTGATTTTGCATGGGAAAGCATGCTAATTTAAGTGTATTACTAAAATTTAAACCAGTGTTTTATTAGAATTCTTAGTTGAAAAAAGCATCAGTGAGAAAGAGTCAAAACACAAAATTTTTTATTTCCCCTCAGGAATGAGTTTCTGTATTTCCAGGTTTGAAATATTTTCCCATTTAGTTTTTATCTTTTAGAGAAAAAAAGTCATAAAATAGCGAGTTTTCATGTTTTCAGTGATTGTAAGTCATTATATATAAAATAACATTTTTCCTAAGAGTTTTTATCAGTTCATATTGCAAGTCCTAGAAGCAACTGAACAGAGTATATTTGAAATTTGTACCTGAACTTTCAAATCTTTCAAGATATGAGTTTATTTACCACTACCCTCATTCATGAAAGAAATCTTTTAAACTGCTAATCAAATGGCCAGAGGACACTTTGTACTTCCTGGAACTCATAAAACCTCAAATCTGAAGAAATACATTTTCCTAAATATAAGTAATTTTTTTAAGGTAGCAAGCTAAGCTTTGAAATAACATACTGTTTTGGAATTCTGTATATTTTTGAATGAATAGTTGGAATCACTTAAGACGGCACTTAACATTTATATTTATGTTATGACTGTGTGTTTTTATTTCAAATTCATGCTCATAGGCAAGGAGCAGTAATCTTGCACTCTTATGTTTTTAAATTTTGTCTATGAAGTACCAGTTAGGATGACTTCTACATCAGGCTTTTTTTATAAGTACAAAGCAAAAAAAAAAAATTATTTGAAAGTTACTGAAAATAAGTTTGATTATCTAAAAATTAGAAAGCTTTCACTTTAAAATCTCAAATATAATAATAAAACCAACGAACCAACAATCAATGTGAGTCAGACTGCTTATGATCTACATCAAAGAATTGTAAAACCTAATATACTTGTAATACCCTATGTTATTCCGTAATGGGGTGGGGGAGCAGAGAAATCTTCCATCACCCTAGAAGGTATGAGGAAGATGTGAAATACTAGTTACTCTTCACTAGGGTATTGAGAATTTCTCTGCACACCCCTCCTAAAACTGTACTGCACCTAAACTGTTGACATATGCCTTGTTAGAGTTGTAAGCCAGTCTAGACTACCCGAAAAAAAAAGCCAGGTTTAGCAAAATTATACTTCAATGCTATAAAATGCTAAATATTATAATGAAAATAGACACAAGACAGCTGAACGGTAATCTATAGCCATTTTAAGATGTATAGAACCCGGTTGTATATAAACTAAAATTGAAATGTCAATGAAGAAGCCACAGGATGTGGTTAAGAACTTGCATTTTTTTTTAACATATTGGTTAGTCAATACTGTGTCAATTAATTCCATAATGTTATAAATTGTTGCTGATGTTATGTTGGGGCTTTTAATTGATTGGGATGATACTCTGCTGGCTCTACCTTCAGACCAGAGAAGGTATCCGAAACAAGCCGTTAAACTTATCTGGAAAATAAGATGCTGGACTCTAAGCTTGGTATATGCTTGCAATAAAAGAATCTCAACTGAACTTGAATTGTGGTTATGCAAAAAGGTGGAGGAATCCACCATGGGGAGAGGGTTAGGGGAGGGGTGGGGGAATCCCAGTGCCTATAAAACTGTGTCACATAATACAATGTAATTAATAAAAATTAAAAAAATAAAATCTCAAATATAATAATAAAACAGTAATAAATTAAGTTATAACTTAACTCAAGTGAACTTCAAAGGTAAGCTTACGTTTCCTTTACCAGTGGGTGATGAAGTTTAAATAATAGGAAAATTGTCTGTCATTTTGCTTTTGTAACTGAACATTAAACTATCATGCAATATAATGCTGCAGATCATTATCCAAAACTTACAGCCTTCTTTTTACCATAGAATTTTGTTTTTCTCATGCTTCTAAGCAAAGCCAATGAAGCTTACAATTGTACAGAATTTCGTTTATTAAAAAAAAGATTTATTTGAAAGGCAGAGAGAGAGAGAGGGAGAAACAGATATTCCATGCACTTGTTCACTCCCCAGATGGATGCAACAGCAGCAGCTCCGGGCCAGGCTGAATCTAGGAGCCAGAAACTCCATCCTGGTGTCCCACATGAGCGACAGGAGCCAGGGTTTCAGTCATCGTCTGCTGCCTTCCACATGCTTCATCAGAAGTGTAGCAGCGGAAACTTGAGCTGACACTCTGAAATGGGAGGCCAACATTTTCTGTGGTAGTTTAACGTGGTGCGCCACAAGCTGGCCACTGCACAGAATTTTATAAATGTAGCATAGTCAAAATTGTTCTTCAAGGAAATATGTTGCCTGTTTGTGCTGGAATTTAAATGCATGGTACATCTAGCCAGCTAGAGCATTCTCCTGTGATTAACACAAGACTGCATAACTGGTATAGACACCCAAATCCCCAAAGCCTTGGAAATCTTAAGGCTAAAATTAATGGGAAGGAAAGTTGAAGACAGTATCTTCACATTTACATTTTTGTTCTATCATATATTAGGGTTGCTGTATGTAGCTATATTCCTTAGATGTTTACCTATTTCCATGACTGGACCTGAAACGTTCCTGGAAGATCTTTCAAAATCTTATGTGTAAAAATAAACCCATGACACACAGTTACCATGAAAGAAACTAGAGGACACTTATGCATGTCTAATAACATGCCTGTAGGGGAAAATCCTCAATCAGAATCATGACACTGACTTGTGAAACGAGTGTCATAACTTTTCTTTCCCCAAACTAACACATGAAATGTATTAGCTAACCCACAATTATCTCTATAATGTCTATGCATGGAGTTATCTAAGTATTGCTGCCATCTCTATCCACCATCTCTACATCCAGAGAATTACTTTGCCTGATACGTGGTCCATTGATGTTCTCAGATAATAATGTAACTTACATCTGAGATGTCAGCTGTAAGATGCAACGTTCTGTTATGCATACCTGAGAAAGACATGGCTGTTAGTTATACTGTCTCTCAACATCCTGAAAGATATGCTATGACTTATAGAGATTCTAATGGGCTCCTTTACACTCTGAGAAATGAAAGTATCTTAGTATTTGTTTAATAAAGTGATGATATGGTGCTGGATTTTATTCTTGGGTTTATTATATGTCAATTATCTTACTGTCTTCCCAGCAAATTTCTTTGACAAGATTATTTCAGCTTTGCCTCCCAGTTAATCAGGAAGTTTCTTTGGATCAGGGGAGAGCTATTTCCTTTTGGTTCTCACAAGCTCAGGATTAAGATTCCATATGCAGTTGCAGACCCTTGGTTTTCTTCCATCTTAGTGCAATTGAATTCTCAAATTCTTGGTGTTCATATCGTTTATCAGGACACCTTTCAAATGCCCCCTTTTTGGAGGTGAAGGTCTTGAGTAAAAAGTGTGTTGTTGAAGAATGTTATGTTGTTAAAGTGTTGTTAAATTATGCTGTTAAATAAGTGAGAATTGTTCTTGGAAGCAAAGTAAAATATTGCCTGATAAGAATGGATGCTTGATTTCTACCTGTAGTGAAAGTTGACTTTCCTTTTCCATCGGCAGTGATGATGTCCGATCAGCAAATATTATTGCTGAAGAAAACGATGTTGCCTGCCTGGTGATTGACCGAGAGTGAGTATACCGATAGCGGAGAAGGCAGGCTGCTGCCTCTCTTAAGACTTGGCCTTCTGTTACTCTGGGGGCTGCTCTGTTTGCTCATTCATCACTGCTTGGAAATGCTGGCCAAACCTCAGCTGAGAGTGCGTTCTATAAACATTCATGGCAGTGTGCTGGATCTTCTGATCAGAATTTGTCTGAGCCAGTGGCAGATGCTGGCAGGCTAAATATTTTGTGTTCAAAGTCTGTACACAAATGTCAGCAGGAGAATCATCTGAATCCTTCCTCTTCTGGAGAAATACATGTACCAGAGTTCTTACAGATTTTTTTCATGCCACATAATGGACCATTTCATAATTTAATTTCTAAAATAACTCCAGCAGCTAATATGTCTTAGATAAAAGCTTTCTGAGATAGTGTGAAATATTCATTAGTGTCTATGTGTCAAAGAATCTTTTTAATTGAGCCTTTGTAATCATTTGTGAGGTATCAGTATTAACAATTGATAGTCAATATTATTCTCTAACTATGTTGAGTTATTTTTAGAAGTTTCATATCGTGTCATTTACCTACTTCAAATTCTGTTTGAGTCAGGCCATCTGGATTTCAACTAGTTAAATATTCATTGGTTATCCACTAGGTGTGATAAGAGAAATTTCAGGATATCAAAGCTAAGCTATTTTCTTTAAAAAAAAAAGTCAGAGTATAGTCAAATATAGGGAATGCTCACAAGAATAATAATAAAATGTCATGAAACATGATTAACTGATAATTAAATGTAACACTGGACATTGACTCACAGAGATGAAATACTAGAAAAAACATCAGAGAATTTAGGAAATGTATATATATTAAGATTTATTTATTTTTATTGGAAAGTCATATATACAGAGAGGAGAGATATACAGAGAGGAAGGGAGACAGAGAGGAAGATCTTCACCAAGTGGCCACAATGGCTGGAGCTGAGCTGATTCAAAACCAAGAGCCAGAAGCTTCTTCCAGGTCTCCCACGTGGGTGCAGAGTTCCAAAGGGACTGCTTTCCAAAGCCACAAGCAAGGAGCTGGATGGGAAGTGAAGCAGCCAGGACATGAACAGGTGCCCATATGGGATCCCAGTGCTTGCAAGGCGAGGACTTTAGCCGCTATGCTACTGCCCTGGGCCCGGGAAATATTTTTATTTGCAAAATTTCAAACATGGGAAATATACTTTAAAAAGCTGGTGATGGAATTTTAATTTTTTTTTGAAAGGCAGTTACAGACAGAAGGACATGCAGAAAGAGGAAGATGGAATTTAAAGATAATTTATGTAGAAATAATTAAAACTCATGCAGTTTTTTTCATTGTGCACATCTTCTACAAACTTTTGAATATCCCCCTTTATTTAAAAAAAAAAAAAGTGGCCTGGTGGGTAAAATCCTCGCCTTGAACACACCGGGATTCTATGTGGACACCAGTTCTAATCCTGGCAGCTCCACTTTCCATCCAGCTCCCTACTTGTGGCCTGGGAAAGCAGTTGAGGACAGCCCAAAGCCTTGGGACCCTGCACCATGTGGAAGACCTGGAAGAGCTCCAGCTCCTGGCTTAGGATCAGCTCAGCTCTGGCTGTTGTGGTCACCTGGGGAGTGAACCATCGGACGGAAGATCTTCCTCTCTGTCTCTCCTCCTCTCTATGTATCTCTGACTTTGCAATAAATAAATAAATAAATAAATAAATAAATAAATAAATCTTTTTAAAGAAGATCTTTATTAAATAAAAGGATAGTATGCTGAAATTTACAGCGCAAGTTCAGTAGTTATCAGCTCATGGCTGATCCATATCCCTCAGCACTTCCTGCGGTCCTTATGGTAGTGTCAAGCAAATTCCAAATATTAAATGATTGCTTCCATATATTTCTCGGAGCTGAATGCTATTCACAATGCTTGACTATAATATTGTTTACATGCCTACAAAGTCAGTTCATAAAATTTATTCGTTTTATTTACTTGAAAGGCAGAGAAATGCTGAGACAGATGAGCAGTGGGACATGGAAGTATCTTCTATCTTTTAGCTCCCTTTCCACATTAGGCTGGACAAGGTTCGCACCAGAAGTTGTGTCATGCACCTGAGTCTCCCACACAGGGAGCAAGCGCGGGCCCAACTACTTAAACCATCATTGTTTCCATACAGTGCATTAGCAGAAAGCTGAAATCAGGAACAGAGTTAAAATTCAAGCCCGGACACTGACATGAGAGGGGATGTCCCAAATAATGGCCTAGCCACTATGCTACCCTTTTGCTGTGACATTTCTTAACACTTTGAGTTATTTTAACGCCCTGACTTACAGATAAGAAAATGAGTACCACTTAGATTGAAGAATTGCCCCAAAAATGCCATCTGTGACGGAGCAGGAGCAATTGCCCTAGTTTTTATATTTTGATATTCTTTCCTCCATGCTACTTGACTCTCAGGACATGCACAGAAACAGATGCAGTGGGACTGGCATTGTGGTATAGAAAGATAAACTTCCACCTGCAGTGCCAGCATCCCATACAGATGCTGATTTGTGTCCTGGCTGCTCTACTTCCAACACATCTCTCTGCTAATAGTCTGAGAAAGCTCCAGAGGATGTTTCAAGTCCTTCAGCACCTATACCCACATGGGAGACCTCGAAGAGGCTCCTGGCTGACTCCTGGCTGGCCCCTGGCTGGCCCCTGGCTGGCTCCTGCCTGGCTCCTGCCTGGCTCCTGCCTGGCTCCTGGCTGGTTCCTGGCTGGTTCCTGGCTTCAGATGAACTGAGCACTAGCCCTTGGGTTATTTGGGGAGTGAACCATGAATGGAAGACTTCTCTTTGTCTCCATGTCCGTGTGTCTATCTCTGTCTCTCAGTAACTCCACCTTCCATAGAAATAAATAAATATGTAATTTGCAGAAGGGTGGAAATGGGCTTAACTTGTCAGTGAGTTCATATAAAAGGGATCTTTGAATATCACCTGTCAAACAGAACTTATATTGGTACAATATTACAATAATGCTTTGTTTTGTAAGCATTCTTTAAAAAGCATATACCTGCCCTGAATAGCATTATCACTGTGATAAAATATTATGAATTTTCTCAAAATGCCAGGCTTAAAATATGTCAGACTAGAAAAACTCTTTTCTCTATGATCAGATACACCAAGTTTTTAAAATAAGTTATAATTCATGAAAAGGATTTGTATTCATGTATTTACAACCCATAAACGGGATTTTGTGATTTTACATACTTTATGAATTATCTTCATGTTTATAATGTTAAATGTTTAATCTACTGTTACGTGTTACAAAGTCTGTCACACACATAGTATTGCACTAGGCACAGTGAGATGTTAAAATCAATGAATTTATTCTATGGGGTGGGAAAAGTTGAATTAAGTTTGAATAGATTGACCTACACCCTAGATTTGCTGCTATGTTTGGTTACCCTGTGAGAGCTGGTATTGGCACTTCAGATCATTCTGCAGAATGTCCCCATTTGAATGACAAATTACATGATTTTCATAGCAGTGACTTAGAGTGTGCGCCAAGATCTCAACATACTGTTCCCAGAACACCCTATACAGCTTATCACATCATTATTCACACTCACTCTTTTTAAAATCTGTCTTCTCAATGTTAAGTTCCATGAATGCAGAACATGTGAATTGTTCATTGTAATCTCACTGTTAGCATCTGGTATAGTCTCGGGCATATGGAAAGTGCTCGCCAGATGGTAGATTATAAAGGGCACCATCTTTGCAATGGAATATAGTGACTCAAAGCCTGTGGCATTTTTATTTCTTTTCTAATTCAAGAGTTGAAGAAATGCTTTGAATGAATATAGTATAATCAGAGTTAAGGGTTGAACTGTATTTCTCATTTTTGAAATATGGTAAAACATGTGCAAAACTCATTATGGCAAGAGCTCAAAACTAGTGGAAGGTGCTGTTTGTGACATCTCCATCTTTGCTTGGTTGTGGGGGAAATCTGAAAGGAATTGTTTTGCTTCGTCTCAGGCTACAATTTCTGAATGTATAGAAACTGCTAGCTGTATAAACTCAACTTTATTATTAATTAGCTGAGAACCACTAGGGACCTGTAGCGTTGCTGTTATGTAAAGTTTGCTTAAACAATATGTAGTGTTAGTTTAATGGTTAGTTTACTGTGTCAACCGGTGCATGTTGGAAAGGGCCCCTCATCCTTCGATCGGTGAGATCAACAGCATTCAGAATGATCAAATCCATTTGGGCAGAACGCTCAGATCAGTATGTGGTACTCAGGTGACTATAGCATGGTCACTATTTTTGGAAAGATTTATATATTTTTATTGGAAAGTCAAATATACAAAGAGGAGAACAGAAAGAAAGATTTCCGTTCGCTGGTTCACTCCCCAAGTGGCTGCAACAGCTGGAGCTGAGCCAATCTGAAGCCAGGAGCCAGGAGCTTCTCTGGGTCTCTGTCATAGATGTAGGGTCCCAGGGCTTTGAGCTGTGCTCAGTTGCTTCCCGGACCACATGCAGGGAGTTGGGTGGGAAATAGAGCGGTCAGGACATGAACAGGTGCCCATATGTGATCCCAGCACATGCAAAGCAAGGACTTTAGCCACTAGGCTACTGCACTGGGCCCTGGTCACTTTTTTTTAAACAAAAATTTATGTATATTCATTTGAAAGTCCTATTTTATAGAGAGAGAAGAGGAAGAGGACAAGATATTCCTTCCACTGGTTCTCTCCCCCAAAGACTATAATGCTTAGCCGATCCAAAGCTGGGAGCCAGGAGCTCCTTCCAGGTCTCCCATGTAGTTGCAGGGGCCAAGGATTTGGTCCAATCCTCACTGCTTTCTCAGGCTGTAAGTGGAGAGCTAGATTGTGAATGAAGCAGCTGGGACATGAACTGGTGCCCATATGGGATTCCAGCATAATAGAGGGGAGAATTAGCCTATCAGGGTCTCTGTTTCTAAGGATAATACTTTGTAGTGGGGAAGAGAGGTAATTTAATATTCATAGATCAATGTGAATTGCCAGATGTTAAGACACATTGGATGGGTGACTGGGAAAATTACTCTCTCACTGGTCAGCACATGAATTTTTTTTTTCCCCATGGGCTAGGGTGTTACCACAGTCATCGGGAACAGAGAGATTAGATATATCATCAATGAATATGTCATCCATGAAGGGCAGGTAGTAAAAAGAAGTTGACTGAATCTCAGAAACAACTAAGATGAAGTACAGTAAGTTGCATTTAGTCATAAAAAATATGAAATAGGGACATTAACCTAAGAAAATTGATGTATTCTGAAAAGGGGAGATTAACAAAGAAAAATGATATATTCTAGCATTGACTTTAAAAACAGTAATTTAACTTAATAAATTTAGAAGAATTTGTAACTGCTGTAGGCAAACCCAGAACGGTTATGGGCTATTGGTGTTTTCTTTTCCACTATTTTTTAAAACCAAAGCAAAGCAACAACAACAACTTGATGTCAAAGCAGGAAAACGTGGCAGGAAATGAAAGAAAATGCTTTTTGTTTCCTTGCTAGCCTTTGTCTAATTTGTAAATGCAAAGAATCAATTATCAAAATATCAATTCAAAATATCATGGCATCTTTCATAGTCAATAAATAATTAAAAAGACCAATTTTCAAAGTCATGCATAAAATTAGTCTTTTATAAGCTTAAGAAAGTTATCAACTTGTCTTGGTAACTGTCAGTGTAAATAGTTTATTTTGTTTTGTGTTGTTTCATTTAGAACATTCAACCAAACTGTTGGGACATTTGAAGATCTCCAAAAATACCTTGAAGGATATGTAGCAAACCTGAACCGCGATGATGAAAAAAGACATGCAAAGTAAGTAGAGGGTCGTTTTCCTAAACTCGGTGTGCGCTCTGGGAGCTGATACAGAGGGGGGCATCGAGACAGGGTTCTCCATGTGGTAATAATTTTTACTCTGCCTGCACTAGTAAATGCTGGCAGTCTTTTTGATTGTTCTTCCAGAAAGATGCCACTTACCAGTGGAATGGGGATTATTTACACCCATAATATGTTCATGGAAAGTGTGTGTTTAAAACAATTTTACGTGGAAGTTGACTCCTTTATTTTGGGTGTGAAGAGGATTGCCAGAAATGCCGTGATTGGGAAGAGATTTTTGTCAGGACAGAGAATTTTGACATTGTCTAGCGACCTGACTCAAAGGCACATTAATATCTGATGACAGGCAAGGAGCAGAATTACAGTCAGAGGTTTTCAAAATATAAGGAAAGTATTGGCTCAGGAATTATATGTGGAGGGGAAGGATTAAACTGGGCTCCAAATGCAGTAATAATAAGATTGTTTTTAACCAAACAGAGAACTCTAATCTGCTAATTGAAAATTGTCGAAACATTTTGAAGAGTGCATTCTTAAGTGTTATAATCAGCGGACTATGCTACTGCTGCTATTTTTTCAAATTTCTTGAAAACTGAAGGGTGAATTAAATTAGAACATCCAATCAGTACCTAAATAGTTTTTTCAAGAAATATATTTGCAGCTTTTATGTCAAAATCCTTTTACAGTTAACAATTTGTGAAGGCAGAACTAGTGCAGTTAACTTTAATTAAAAGAATAAAATGGATATTTCCAAACAGTAAGACTCAGACATAATGGAAGAAATGTACCTTTTCATGGTTTCTGTGTAAACCATGAGAAGCTTCAAGACCTGACAAAAAGTGGCCAAACACAGCAGGCATTATTGGGGTGCCATGCACCCATGTGAAGCAATGGAAATACCCTTCTGCCTTTCATTACCTGCAATTAACTCCTTTTAGGACTTGTCTTTCAAAGATTTAATTGAAATATTTTTTAAATTTGTTTATTTTTATTGGAAAGGCGGATATACAGAGTAGGAGACACAGAGAGGAAGACCTTCCATGCGATGGTTCACTCCCCAAGTGAGCCCAACGGTTGGAGCTAAGCCAATCCAAAGACAGGAGCTTTCTGGGTCTCCCAGGCAGGTGCAGGTCCCAAGGCTTTGGGCCGTCCTCAATTCCTGTCCCAGGCCACAAGCAGGGAGCTGGATGGGAAACTGGGCATCCGGGATAAGAACCGGCGACCATATGGTATCCCGGGGTGTGCAAGGCAAGGACTTTAACCACTACGCTATCACGCTGAGCCCTGAAATTATTTTAAGTGACAAAAATTTATGCATTTCGTCTCTTATGGATTCAGTTTGATTTCTGATCTTAGATTGTTGTTTGTGTATTTCATTGCTTTTCTAACAAGATGTACCAGAATCTGACCCTATCAGAGCTTAGCCAGCATTTGTGGTGACTACCCGCAGTAACTACAGGTTGAAATAGGGCTGTCCGAAGGGTAGGGCTAAGGCACCCGTGGTAAAGTTTTACATTTCTTGCCCAGGAGATCCATGTCGAACTGGAAGCTGTCCAAAGCACTGTCTCTGGAGATGATTCAGCTCAAGGAGAAGGTGGCCAGATTCTCCTCATCATCCCCATTCCAGAACCTTGAGATTATCGCCACACTGGGCGTTGGTGGGTTCGGAAGAGTTGAGCTTGTAAGGGGTTTACGTTTCAAGCATCTGACAGAAGCCTTTGACTGTTTTTGTTTGTTTGTTTATTCCAGCTTCCTTAGAAGAAAAGTGAATTGTCATTGCTATCTTAAATTTCAGCTGAAATTAAGACAGTAAACTTTTCCTTCCGCATATTGTATAATTAGCTGCTATTTCAAGGTTTTAGTACACCTGTTTTTAATTTTTTCTGGTTGGTCTCACATAGACATAGACATGGACAGTCCCTTATATGTTTTTTAGCAGCAAAAATGTGTTTATGTAAACACTCATGACACATTCTGTAGTACCAAAGGAAAGAAAAATGTTTCCTGTCAAAATGTATAGCTAGATCTTTTAAGCTCCTCCACTACAGTGTCTGATTTGGACTTTTCCTTTTTTTTTTTTTTAATTTGCTCAAATTTTCCATCAGAAAAAAAAATAACATGAATGTATTTGGAGACCAGGCTGTAATTCAAACCTGGTATGTTTTCCTTTCTATTTTCTACGTGGCTACCGGTCTAGGCTTCATTATCAGCTTGCAAGAAGTAGCAGACGGGGGCGATTAGATCAAGTGTTCCAGGGAAGCTGCAACACATAGATCTGTGATCTTCCTGGGTTCAGATCGCTCTGAACCCTTGGCAGTTGCCACGTTCCATTTGTACCTCAGATTGCGAATGGCTCACTGGGCATCATCGATCTCCAGGCATCTGCCGACACCCACACCTGCTCAGCGGCACTGCGCACAGGCAGGTTGGAAATGCAGCAGGAGTCCCCGAGCTGGACACCTCACCCCCAGTGTGCGTTTCTTCTTTAACAGGAGGAGGAAACTTTATTAAGGCAAAGAACATTTGTTATGTTTCTTGGGTCATACGGAGAGATATAAGCAATATTGATTAGCAATGCTTTTTTTTTTTAACAAAGACTATTGCAAAAGATTCAATTCATGATGTTTTGATATCTGTTTCCCAGGATAATAATAAATGAAACAATAGTTGCACCATTAATTTAAAAGGTCATAGGCAGCAGAAATCATAACTATGACAAAACACAAGGTATCAGTCAGTTCTATACAATCCTAGTTACTTGTTTATGGCAGTCTGTGTACAGCGCTTTGAATCTATTGGAAAAAAAGCTCTATTATAAAATCTTTATGCCCTTTGTTGGAAAAGTCCTAATATGCATCTAGAATAACATTCTTTGGTAGAACTTTCTGGGATGGTGGAAATGTCATATATGCATATTCAATATGGTAACTACTGGGTGCATCCAGTGGTACAACTGAAGAACTGAATTTTGGGGTTTCATTAATTTCTATTTAAAATTTCATGAGATACATGGCTACTATATTAGATAGTACACACATAGAATTTAAGTTTAACATGCTTTGGTTTCAAAATCAAAGAAAAATATGAAGAAGTAAAAGCTTTTTAGCATTTCTGTTCAGTTTTTCATGTTTCATACAAAATCAGAAACTGGATTTCAGAGAGTACATCTTTCAACAATTCTCTTGTTTCAATACATGCATGTTAGAAGTACATACGTTAATTGCTTGGGAAATTGTAATGGAAGGATGTTTTTTACACTTAAATGGAACTCAGTTCTAGAGGGCTGTGTGTCTAAAGCTTATCTCTACCATTTAAAGGAGAATCAATTTTAACTCTTAGATATATACTTTATAGTTTATATAGATGTTTCAAAAGTTTCCCTATACTTTAATTGTAAAGGCTATTTCTATTTCTTATGTAGGTTAAAGTGAAAAATGAGAATGTTGCCTTTGCTATGAAGTGTATAAGGAAAAAGCACATTGTGGACACTAAACAGCAGGAGCATGTCTACTCAGAAAAAAGGATTCTGGAAGAGTTGTGTTCTCCATTCATTGTGAAGTAAGCAAATCCTTGGCATCCCAGGACTTACGCTTGACTTTTATTATTGTAACAATAATGGGGATTTAGTGAGAATGGGGAATTTGGAAAGTGAGAGAGGAAAATCCTGGGGCCTATGGAACTGAATCATAAAATTATAATTAAAAAAAGAAATTAAAAAAAAAAAGAATGAAGAAGAGAGGATTCCATTCTAAATCTTCCAATCCATTCAAAACCATGGTTAAAAGTTTGAGATCCGGAGTCAGAGTTTTTAAGCTGCTTTTATTCCTCAGTAAGCCTCCTAAGAGAGACAGAGATAGAGAGAGAGAGAGAGAGAGAGAGAGAGAGAGAGAGAGAATTCCATTGTAGAATTTGGGACTAAGGAAGCAAGAATTTCTAAGATACCCAATGAAGAGTATGCTGCTGTTGAGGTTCTGTGTGAACTGGCCTGTGGACTTTGCCACGGAAATACCCTGGCTCTCGAAGTGACCAAACACCAGAAGAAACGGCTCCTATTGAGTTGTTTTTTTTTTTGTTGTTTTTGTTTTTTTTTTTTTTCCTGTAGCTTTGGTCAAAGATTGGAGGGGAAAGAAATAAGTTATTCTAGGTCCTAGTTTTCTTCACTTATGAATTTATGGCTTACTGGTATAAGCCAGTTTTTATTTTCAAATGTCTTAATGCCCAGGAGTGCAGTTTTAGTGATTTCTGGGTCATGTAAAATGCCACTATAATGAATAGAATTCATGTTTTTTGATCAAATGCCTTGAGAGAAACTTACTACCTATCCAAATTCCCAGACCTATGCTTTTTCCAAGATTAAAAAGAAGTCTGAACCCCGGCAGTGCTTGAAATAGAGAGTCATCCAATTACCAATATATTAGCTATGTTCTCAGAATGCCCTTTTTAAAATTATTTCATTAACAATCTATGATAAGCAGCTTTAGGGTATGAATTAAGTTGTGTTCATTTTCTCATTTCCAGCTCTTTGCAGCGTCTGGCATACAGCAGGATGATAATGATGTTAGGAATTAAATACTAGTGACAACATTTATTAAGAAATTAACATGAACCAGCCACATATATTTACATATCTCATTCTATTTATTAGAATGTATTATTAATAATATATAAGTAGTATGTGATATATAAATAAGCAAATGAATATATATGTTCAATGAATGCTTATGATGATGCTTAGTTAATAAATGTCCAATCCGGTAGTTGAGACTGGGCAGCTTGCTTGTCAAGTTCAGTCTTTGAATCATTTTGCCAGAGTGCCGCTTTTACTCATACCTGACATGGCTCCTCTGCTGTCTCTTTGGCCTGGGCATAGGGCAAGGGAGAACAGGTTGTTCTTGATTGCTACCACCTTGAAATTACTTTCACCCAGTGTTGAATATGGTGTCTTGCTTGGCTTGGCCCCACTCCCACCAAGACACCATCTCCTCGGCTCGCTGGAGTGTTGGAGCTGAGGCATTGCTCTTACATGTTCCTTCTCTCCAAAAACATCTTGAATCCAAGGAGGGCAGACACTGGAAGTTGGAGCCTTTGTTGAATCTGGATTGTAACTCTACTTTTCCCCCTTCCAGATTTGTTTCCTTTACTCGACCCTGCATTACTCCCAGGCGCACACCCCACTCAGTGTTGTGCTTACAATGTTTGTGCCAGAATCTGTTTCTAGTGTTACACAAGTCTTGGACTTGATTCTCAGTTATGCCACATGATTTTTCAGTGATTTGTATCCAGGTGTCTGGTTTTCTGGAAGAAGGATCATATAGCTGGAACATTGAGCTGCTCTCTAAAGAAGACAGCTTGTAACTTGACCTTGAAGAACACATAAAAGCTTTGACAGTAAAACTAAGACAGAAATCCAGTCTGCGGGTGAAGGGAGGACAATTTATGGCAAAGCAACAGGAAAGATCAAAGTGAATTTGGCAAGATGCCCAGGGTAGCGATAGGAAATTTGTGTGAGGATGAGGGTCATTGTTCCAAATGCTATTGATGATAGTCTTAGGTAGCTATGAAGAGGTTTTTAAATGAGGTTTCTAATAATAACCATGTTTCTATCTGTCTTCACAGACTGTATCGAACTTTCAAGGATACTAAGTATGTCTACATGCTCCTGGAGGCCTGCTTGGGTGGGGAGTTGTGGAGCATATTAAGGGACAGGTAAGGAAAGTTCCACAAGCTCTAACATTTGTCTGCTGACATCTGGTCTAAAGTATACTATGCTGATGTTCACTTAAAGAGGTCTGAAGGGAATTTCTGGGAATGGTTATAGGAATATCTTATCACTTCATACAATAAAGTAATTGTGTTTTCTTAGCACACATTAAAGCAGCATCATTTGCACCAAAGTGATTACTGTTGTTTAATTTTGGCGTAAAAAAAAAAAAAAAAAAAAAACCTTTGCTAAGGGAGCCCATGAACTAACTGTCACGGGTTACCAGACTAGTAGGAGGTTAAGATAGGGTCTAAGGTCAGAAGTTTCTGTATCTTTATCTAGCAGAATGAGTAAAATAGACATGAGTGGGGGGTAAGCGCTTCCTGCAAGCCAGAGGGAATTGTCTGCAAGTTTTCAGTTTAAAAAAAAATGCGGTTTCTACATGATGAAAACCATAGATATTTATTGAGTTCCACCTGTGTGAAAGGTGGCATGGTGGGCAGTGTACAGAGAGTTTCTAAATAGCACAAACTGTTTTTATTTTCTAACAAGTTTAGGGTTTATTTGGAAAAACAATTCCTGTAATTTTAAAAACATTTCATTACTTAATGTGAAACTAAATGATAACAAAAATGTTGACACTTTAGAATTAGATCCTAAAGGAACATGGTAGACAGTGAGCTCCCAGGAAGGGAGACAAAAATCTACAGTGTGAAGGGAGAGGAAAGATTTATGTTAAATTCTGAAGCTGATGACAGTATGGAAGGATAGGCAGGGAAACCAGTGTAAATCAAGTCAAGCAGGAAATTGAGGATGTTGTGAGGTATCTTCATGAGTGATGAATAGAAGGATTTGAGTAGAGGATGGGCAGATGAGGAGGAAGCAGAAAGGTAGGCTGGCACTGGACAGTGCGGGCTTAATGCCAGGACAAACATGTAGACCATCATCCTTCGGCTAGTGATTTTCCAGGCTGGCCACACAGTGCAATCCCATGGGGAGCCTTTGTAAAAAATTCTGGACCTTAACACCAGTGACTGATTTAGCTCATTTGGATCAGTTGCAATATATGCTTTTAAAAATGCTTCCCAAGTAGTACTGATACGCATTCATGGCAGAGAATTGCTGACCCAAACAAGTAGCAACCATTGGAGAGCTAGGTAGAAAGTAACTGTTGTGAATGAGGAACATGCTGGATAGATTCAAATGGAGGAGAAACTGAAAGAGTGGGGAGACTTTGATGGGACTTACGAAAGTATTAACCTCTTCCAAAAGACTTTTTTAAAAATCTGAATCTGTATAGAAGATGAGAAGAGGGAGTTCCTATAGCTGTTCCTATATTCTGTTATGTACATAGCAAACCTATCTCCCTTGTATGGGTTTTGAGACTCAAAACAATTAAACTGCCCAAGCATGGCAAAGCTACACAAAAGGCTGATTCGGGGGAACTCAAATAAGAGATCAAGGTAGGGGGACCAGCACTATGACAGAGTGAATAGAGCTGCTGCCTGCTCTTCATGCATCCCATTTAGGTGCTGGTTCAACTTGCCACTGTTCCACTTCTGATTCAGCACTCTGTCGATGTGCTTGGGAATAGCATAGGATGGCTCCAGGTTCTTGAGTGCCTGATGAAGGGAAGAAGACCTGATGAAACTCCTGGTTGTTAGCTTTGCACTGGCACAGTCCAGCCCTGGCCATTATATCTGTTTTAGGAATGAACTAGTGAATAAGAGTCTCTCTCGCTTTTTCTCTCTCTCTCTCTCTCTTTCTCTCTCTGCTTCTGCTTCTCCATCATTGTATTTGCCTTTGTAATAAATAATCAGTGACTAAGGAAGTAAAAAAGTAAGGTTCCATTCCTCCTTGCACCACCATCAAAGGCTATATATAAAAAAGACATGAAAGTAGTCACATAAACATTTTTCAGGCAGTAAGCTGCCAAAATCTGATTTCAGATCCCTGCTGACATAGTTGGACTTTTCCAGAGTCTCATGGTTGTCTAAGAGAAAGGATTTTTTAATGTTCGTATGTGATAACCACGAATATATTTGGACTTAAACAGTTTAAATTTAGTGAAGAAGTTCTTGTGTACATCAGCTACCCCTTTAATTCATTGGACACATAATAGTGCTGATACCCTAAAAGACATTGATGTCTGACAAGTTTACCATTGCATTTTTTTGTCTGTTCATCTCTTTTCAGCAATACTGGAGTACTCCACAACCATTCTCAAAATTTCCTATTTCTATTTACAGAAGACAGTCAGCTAGCTCTCTCTAATGATTTTAAGATTCATTATGGCCACCTGGTACAGTGGCAATAAGGCATATGCAGATTACTAAGAGGAATATACATGTCATTACAGAGGCAGCTTTGACGAACCCACCTCCAAATTCTGTGTAGCTTGTGTAACGGAAGCATTTGATTATCTGCATCGACTTGGTATTATCTATAGAGACCTCAAGCCAGAAAACTTAATTCTAGATGCCGACGGCTACCTTAAACTGGTGAGACAAGTTCTTTCATTATCTGTGTTGCATGAAATATTTCCAAAAACAACATTGTGGTAATGGTGCAATTTTCTTTTTTATTACTGGAACAGCTATTATTTTTACTTGGAGGAGCTGGGGATGCCTTTGAAATTGAACTGATGTATGCAGGCAGCCATGTTAGAAATGCATTGTTTATTGTTTAATAATTTAAATTGCATTTTCATTGATTCGTGCTACAAATAGGAACTGGCTGTGAAGAACGTGGAAAGAATATAGTACGGTTCCTTCTACAAAATGCATAGAGAGAGAACAGAAACATAAAATTGAAACTTTTGAGAAATCTTTCTGAGTGGTTCTTCTATATAACTTCGATTTGAGAATCTCAGCTATAGGTCTGCAGGTTTCTTGTGTACTGACACTTTCTTTTCCTATAAATGAGCTGCCTTGCCTACATCACAAAGAGATGAACGCCGCCAATCACATCAACTGCTCCTAGTGAGAAGCTGTGCCAGAGCTGCACAGCCCCCACCGCCTCAGGTACACAGGTGTCTTTCTGAGTCCGTTCATTAAGATTCCAAGGACATTAAGCCTTCTCTGAACGGAACAAAGATAGTCCAAGGATGGTAAGAGTTTCTTAGAAGTACACAGGAGGAGTATATAAGGAAATAACCAAGAGTTACCGTTTAGTGAGCAGTTACCCTGTGTAAGGTCTCTGAAATAAACCTTTGACAATCTGCTTACCCATCTGTAAGGGATCATATTATCCACAAGTTATATTTGTGTAATGTAGCCGTAAGAATTAAATGTGCCTGTTGTAATTGCCGAGATACTTCTTTCCATGGTAAAGGAGTGATATAGAAGTCCTTTCATATGAAATCTGGCTACTTTCCAAGAAACATTTTGATCCATTCAAGCTTTATTTTGCCCATGAAAGATAGCTTTGAGAGCTAGTGAGGCACAAACACAAGGACTCAATCACTCCACTTATTCACAATTCCTTCTGTGGCTGTGCTTCCCAGAGATCTTAGTGAACCCTTTGGAGTATTCCAGAAGGAAACTACCACAGGAGAAGCAAGTAATGCATTAGACTCCTCTCTTCCTCTTCATGGACATTTTTAAAAAATAAAATCAGATGCCATATTCAGTATTTGTAGACACAACAATCAGCAACTCTCCCATTATTTATTGTTACCAGACCTACTAAATCATTTACCAACAAGCTAAATAAAATATTATATCTAAAGCCGTTAGAGACTGCAAAGAAGTAAAGGTTGACAATTGCTAACTAACTATTTATTAAACGATATTGGCTGAACTCCTCTTGCTTTTACATGTCTGAAAGTACTGGCTGACACATGAACTGCACTATTGCAAATGCATGACCAAATTTGAGACAGAATGTGAATTCCTCCGGGGCTGGGAACCAGGCTCAAGTATAGTGTGTGGTGGAACTCAAACACTGAATTTGCCACCGTGGGTATGCCCAGCAGTCCCGGGTGACCTAGCGGTTTGGATTTAAATGGCCCTTTTGGAGGCAGGAGACCAAGTTTTGATGTGGGCAGCACTGAAAGTTTAATCAGAGACTAATGTACAGAGCCAGGAGTCATGCAGATTGAGTGCTCAGAGAAACAGAAAACAAGCAAAAATACATAAAATGTATGAAGACAGAGAATATTCCAGGAAACAGGCTCTCCTTATGATTGGCTCTTCTTTGAAGAACAAAAATCAGCTCTGAGGACCCCTGGCTGCAGGCTGGTCTAAATGGAGTTTGGGTACACAGTCTTTAAAAATGGAAAAATTCAAGCAGGAATTTCTCTGAAAATGAATCCATGTTGGGAGCATGTCCAAGTTGCCATATGTATTTTCTCTGGAAGAAGGCATTCAACCCAAGAGACAAAGAATTCCGGGAGATAGAGTTCCAAGGAATACTAGCTTGTATTTTTAAAAATAAGATAAGTGTTGGTGGAAAAAAGCTTTGATGAACATTAGTTGTCAGAAACACAAAGAGCAGGTGCAGACACACAGCTATCCCCTATAGAAGGAGTAATCAAAGAGTGTAAACAGATATAACATGTTTTAAAAATGAGATAAATGAGAGAAAAACAGAGATTATCAAAACAAAATGTAACAAATTTGAAAGGGAAATAGTAGATCATTTATTAACAAATTAAGAACATAATAATAGAAATTAAGTGTGAAATAAAGGGACTTTCATTTCATTAGAATTAAATAAAGCTTAGTGTGCTTGCAGTATATAAGATTAATAGTGCAAGAACTCAGTGTTACTTTTGAGCATCAGAAACAAGGCTGATAAATAGAAATGTAAATGCCATTTAAGGAAAGCATGAAAATGTAGTGCATGTTGGACAAATTAACAAAATGTGTGCAAGCTTTATTGAGAAACATAAGAGTTTTTAGAATACCACAAACAAATTGATAATGTGTTCCCCTCTCTGTTCTGAACACAGAGCGAGACAACCTGAACCTGTCTCAGCCTTCTTGTGGTTAGTGTAGCCATGTAGCAAAGTTTTATCTAGTGAAATGTTGTTGAAGGCAATGTAGGACACTCCAAAACTTCTGAATAGTTTATCTCCACGTACTTTACTTTCTGGCTTGTTGCCAGTGAGTATAACTGACGGAAGCCAGCAAAGCCCCATCATTGGTGCAGCCTGCATCCTGAATCACTAGGACCGGAAGATTCCCTCGCTTTTCCAAAAAAAAAAAAAAAGGCACCATGTAACGATGAAGAAAATTAATGTGGAGACAGATTCCATGCCTTCTTCTCACAATAGCTAGAGTTTTTTTTTTAATACCCTGACTCAAAACCCAGTTTTTAAAATAGCAGCACTGGGGTTTAGTTGGCAGTTCAGATGCCCACATCTTGTATTGGAGTACCTGAATTTGGTTCCAGATTTCAGCTCCTGACTTCAGCTTTCTCTCAGTGCACACCCTGGAAGGCATTGGTGATAGGTTAAGTAATTTGTTTTCTGCCACCCACATGGGAAACTAGAATTGTTTTGCTGGCTCAAACAAATGATGTTTGTGATCCAATGTTGAAAAGCAAATGAATTTTGGTGTGGGTTAAATTCACAAATATAATTTTGAGTGAATAAAAAGGCAGTTTCCTCAAGAATACATTTACAGTGGATGTGCAACTTTAAAAATGATTTTAAAACAATTTTGGAAATGACTTAGGATATAGATTATTAGATACATGCACAAATTAGAAACAAATTAAAACAAATAAGAATTGCAAAAATCAGAGTAATTGTAACCTCTTAGCGATGGGCAAGAGGAACCCACTAGAGGGACACAAGTTTCTCTGTTGCTTTTCTTCTCCTGCTTAACCAGTGTTAGTACTGGGAGGTATTCTTTTTATTCTCATGCTTGATAACTTGCATATGTATTCCACTATTTTATATGCATCAGCTCTTTTCTAACTTGAGAAAGAAAAATAATCTTCAGGTCCAGCCATATTCTTGCTGCCAGACCACTGTTATTTATGCTGGTTAAAGCTTTTCCCACTAATGTACTTAACACATAACGCTGCTGCTTTTTTTTTTTTTTTTTTGAGACATGCTTTTGCTTTACTTCCTCAAGAAATTTTTCTGCAACAAAAAGTTTCCTTTTTATGTCTGATTCAAATATCATCTGATATCTTTACCACCTTTTTAGATCCCAGTATATATCATCTTGAAACTCAGAGTTAATGGTTATCTCTCTTTTTTTTCCATTTCCACCAAGTATGCTTAAATGTCCACTGTGTTACAAATACTATATGGATAGAAAATGAATAAAACATAATGGTTCTGTCCCAGAAGCCAGATTTGTTCACACACAATTAGACAGTGCTGCCCTCAGAGATGTAATTGTGGAAATACAAACCCTGTTAGGGAACATCATAGGAGAAAGGAATTGTTCCTGTATTTCAAGTTAGATGTCAAAGAGGTGGGGGTATATTAAATGAACCTCGAGAGCTTTTTTCATTTTGTCTTCGTGTGCACAAATCTTTCCTTCATCTTTCCTAACTGCTTTATGGTCATCACTGTGAGACTCTTATCCCCCTCCACCTTATAACCCATCACTCTCATTTCCTGTTGATTGAAACCTTCCATTTTTGCCTGGCTCAGTGGATGGATGTTAGCATCAGAAGGCAATGAAAGCAGCATTGGTTACTGGCTAGTAGAATAAACAGATTCCATTTTACTCTTCTCTAGACTTGGGGTTAACAAAGTACCCTGCAAATTCTATGTAAATATTTTTTGGAATGTTCTATCTCCGTGAATCATTTGGCTTAATTAAACTGGTCACCTTGTGTCCATTTTTTAAGTGACTGAGGGAACTATTATCTGACAAATTTAATGGCCCAGAAATAAACTTCTGGGAAAAAATTTATACTTACTGTATATCAGCTCGAGCAAGCCACAGATTCCATTTTTTCATTTCCAAATGTTCCAATCATTTTACAACTTTGGAAGCATCTTAAAATTATCTCATTTACCAAAAATCTTTGGAGACTTCATGCTTTTTAAGCTTTTAGTATAATGTGAGCCATCTTTAATAATAGCTTTCATGGGGATATGTGTGTACAGTCTCTCTAGAGATCCTTCTGGAGGTGAATTTGAAAAAGTTATGTTGTGAGTGTCGAGGTGGGGCAGAGTGGAGTCCTATTTTCCTGGTGCCTAAAATGATCCCTGTAAAATAGAAATCAGGCCATGCCACACCCATTCTCTTAATGACACAATAAATTCTTAGATTAAAAAAAACTAACAAAATACATCTGAAGATCACCCTATGGTTTCCAGTCCACTCCACATTCTGCCCTGACTTGCCGCCTCTCTCCTGCTCACAGCTTGTGGCTTAGACAGTCCTTGAACTTACCCATGCAAGCTGCCTCAGAGCCTTTGCATTACTGCCTCTTCCTGGAGTAATTCTTTACCCTAGTTCCATTACTTCTTGCCTCACTCAGGTTCCATTAGACTTTCCTCAAATGCTCACCCTTGAGAGAGTCTTGTCCTATACCTCCCATTTTCAAGTGTATGCTGTTCCCAGTCCCAAACTCTTGTGTATATTCCTTCCTAGCAAATGGCAACATCTCACCTAATGTGTCAAATACATTTTTAGCCTTGTTATCGTGCTATTTTTCTGACTGTGGGCCTTACAATGATTAGGACTTGGTCCATACCCTGGAACTTGGTGAATGGAAATGTTCAATCTGTGTTCATTGAATGAATAAAGAAAGGACCTTGCCCCTCCCTCTTGCCCCTCCCTCTTTCCTTGAAGGGTGACTTAGGGAAAAGACAGGCTTTGTGGTGCTGTCTGTGATGTTATGAGACAGAAATAGACTTATTTTTATAGAAAATATGTACAACCCGACATGGAAGATTTGAGATCTATAATTTTAGGCAAATAACTTTGGATGGATCTAAGGTTCAGTTTGCTCTTACCAAATAAATCCAGCCAAAATAGATGTGATCAAAGGAGGTAAGGAAAATGGTGTTTTCATTACTCTTGAAATTATGATGCCATTGTTGCCATCTCTTTGGGCCAATATGTAAGCACTCCAAACGCCAAGTCAGCAATTCAAATTAAAAAAACTAAAAAATACCCCAGTAGCTGATGACCTTCCAGTTATTGTGAAAAGGGACATGTAAGTATAATTTTTTTAAAAACGTGAGTTGAAAGAGCATAACGTAATTACAAAGCATGACAGTTCCACACATGCATGTGTGCGTTCAAATGCAGTTCTGAACATTGCTTTATTACCTCTCAAATTTCAGTCTTTATAAAGTTAACCAAGATTCTCGTATTGGTTCTTTCTCTGAGGAATAAGTAGATGTTGCTACTCTCAGCTGGTTACAAGTTTAATTTTAGAGTACCTCCAGCCATCTATTGGATATAATCTTTACAAGTCATTTTGTGTGAATGAAAAGAAAACTAATAAGTGCTCTCCTTAAATTATCTGTTTAAATTCCCTATTTCCAATGAGGAAACTATTGCTGTTAAGTGACAATTGAGTGACAACTGTACTTTGAGTAAGTACAGTTAAAAAGAAAAGTCTCTAGGAAATTTCCTTAAAGTAAAATATTTTAAATATTAAGAATCACTACAGACTCATACTGTTTTAGGTAGGGACTTATCTTGCAATGCTAATTTTGTTTATTTTGCATTTCAGCCAAGGTTAGTGCCGTGTTATTGAGATGCTTCATGCACAGTGCGGCTATTAAAAGGTGCATGTTGAAACCAGGGACCTGTTTGTGCTCTTGCATAGGGAGGTAGAAGGTGGTTTTGTTAAATCAGTATCTGTACATATTGTACGTGAAAAATCTGTGCATTGCGCCTCTGTGGAAAAAAAATATGGTTTTACAGAACAGGGGTTTAGTCATAGATGTTGTTTTAAGAAGGGAAACATTCTACAGCTTCAGCCTTCTTTCCCATTAAGTCTGTGTGTTCTTTTCATTGAACTGAGACTCAGAGAAGTGGAAAGGCCTATCATGAAAAGACATGGACAAGTAGCACTGATGCATAATCCTGCATTAGTTGATTATCCTCAGCCAGGGCCAGCCTAAGATATCACATGCTAATAATGACTTCTCCTTAATTAACTCTTGGACAATATATTTTAAAAGATTCGTCAATTTATTTGCAAAGAAGAGTTACAGAGAGAGGGAGGTGGGAGCAGGAGAAATAGAGAGAGCAAGAGTTCTGTCTGTTGGTTTACTCCTTAAATGGCCACAAAATCCCAGCTCTTCATCTAGTTTTCACATGTACCCCTCCAAGTGTATACATTGTTCTTTGTTGGACAGTGTCTGCCATTAATCATGTCTCTGGTGGTTTTCCCACACTTCGAGCTTCTTGGTGCCTGCAGGTCTAGGACAGAGTCAAGGTGGTGCTGTATGTACGTCTTCCGAATCAGTCAGTTGAAGCAGGCTCTACGCACCATGCATCTCCATGAAAGAGGCTGACATTGTGCATGGCCTGGCAAAGCAGGGTAATGCTGGCTTTGCTGTGGCCCACTAGATAGCTAGGGTGCACACACTACCTCTGACGGCTCTTGAGATTTAAACCTCTGTTTTCTCCGCAATGGTTCCTTTCCTAATCCACATTTTGCTATTACTTTCCTGATGGAGCCCTAAGTGCACAGGGGCCAACCACTTTCCCTTTCCTTCCTCTTTCCAGTAAACACAAATATTGAATTGTTTTTAAAGTCCTGGTTGCTATAGGCTTCAAATGTATTATTACATCCCAAGAACCTTGTTAAACCACTCTCATCTTGGGCACAGAACAAAGATGTATCAATGTGACTCAATTCATATGTGACCCACAAAGGAATATATGACTCTGTGTGTGTGTGTGTGTGTGTGTATTGAAAGAAGGATTAAGAAAACAATATTTTAGAGGATAGGAGACCTTGGAACATTTTCAAAGTTGCAGAAACTTAGAAGCATGAGGTTTATGGCCCTTGGGCATGTCTTCCACTTTCTTTTCCAGGTTGACTTTGGATTTGCCAAGAAAATTGGTTCTGGACAGAAAACTTGGACATTCTGTGGGACTCCAGAGTATGTAGCCCCAGAGGTCATTCTCAACAAAGGACATGACTTTAGTGTGGACTTTTGGTCACTGGGAATTCTAGTGTATGAGCTCTTAACGGGCAAGTATGTATTCTCCAGTTTTGTTCAACCTCTTTAGAGAAGTCTGAAAATAACTTACTGATGTATATGTAAGAGATAATCATTTTGGAAATGCTTTTGATGACTTGACTTTTTACAGTTTTGAAATGCGGTGAGATTGCCAGTTTGGATTGTGGAGTCAAGATTTCAGGATGGTTAAGGAAGAAAGTGTAGCATTGTTAGTATTTCCAAAATGACAAGTTCCATTATTATAGACAACACACTAAATATGCAAAGATTTTAATAACTGAGCATATTTGTAAGAGCAGGAATAAAAGTTGTAGGCTCTGCTAAGATTTCTTCTTTTTGTAATTGAGAAAGTAGCAATTGTATTTCGGTTAAATTTATTAACCTTAAACTAAATTTGGCTTTGATTTTGCATTTTTCCCAGTCATTAACCAGAAATGCTGAGAAAGCCATGTTGCTGGGTATAAATTTTTAATCCCCTTGTCAGCTTTTTTCTAGAAGTGATAATGAGCAGAGACAAGATCCAGCAGGGGGTTTAGCAATTAAAATTAAATTGTCACTCCCAAAGAGACCAAATGATGACTACCAGGATACCAGATATTTAACACACGTTCACACAGACGCACATACCCACACACCCATACATACATATGCACATACACTCATTAGCTATTTGATAGCCTTCATAGGCCTTAAAAGGTTTATGATAAAATAGAATTGAATTGAAAAATAAGTTAATTTGATGGCAAAAATGTCTGGAATACGGATATAGTTTTTTTTTATGCACATGAAAGGTTAAAGAATTCTTCCAACTGACTTTATGTTTACAAGGATTTCACAGCTTACAAAGCACTTACATGTATGTTTTGTAGGTCAATTTACACAAACTTGTATGAAAGCTAAGGCAGGGATTTTATTGTTATTACATTATCAACCTGTGGTTATGTTCCACATCTTTGTCCACATGTACTAAGCCAACAGATCTGAAAGGCTACATTAACTGTAATGATTTTCACTGCTACGATTCTAAAGCAAAGAGGACCACTGATAAGATTCTAAAAAAAAGTGAGAGAGGAGAATGCTTCTTTGTAGTCACACAGAGAAGTTGTGTACAGGTTTGGCCTCTCAAATTATGTTTCAAGCATTTGTTTGATCATCTTTGGGGAAACCAGTCAGTTGCATTTTTAAGAGGAATGTAGCGGTTCTTGTTGGAAATGAAAGAGTATTCATCTCAGCCCTTCACCAGATGGGATAAATTGTTACAGGGAAGAGAGAATTAAAGCAAGGATATAAAGAAGTGGGGTCAGGGATGGGGTAATCCCATCAATGTGGAATTACCCAGATGGCCTTGAGCCGTCATAAAGAAGTTGGGGCATTTCCTTTTGCAAACGTTTTCATGGAAGGGTATGAGAAAAGATAATTTTAAACATTCTGAACTCTTAAGATGTTAGAAAGAAAATGAAAATGAGGGGAAAAAAACCCTAAAGATCGAACAAGTCAAGATAATGTAGTTGCAAATATCATAGAAATGTTTGTTTTCTACTCTAGTTTCTTTACAAGTGAAACATAGAAGATTATAAAATTGTTGTGCTGGTTTGTGTTAAGATTATTGGCAAGTAAAAGAACCCGAACATGACTGAGATACAGCTGAGTAGTTCATGAAAGTTATCTTTAGTTTTTAAAAGTATGAACATATTATTCAAAGCAGCATAAATGCATTAAAACATTATCTCACTTTAGCACCAATGAGAAAGTTTAGGAACTGGGTCTGGGGAGTGGACATGGTGGCAGTTAGTTGGGGTTGCCCCAGCCAGGATGCAACATCTGCTGGCATGTGAGAGAACTGGGGCTGGCAGGGTTGGGCTAGCCTGTAGTACCCACCAGTGTGAGTGAAAGCCAAGCCTGGGGGGCAGGCAAGGAAAGAGTTCTTTGTGATTACCCCAAAAAGGCTGTATCACCCACCAGTGCACGTGAGAACCAGCATTCAGGGTCTGCTGGCCTGGGGTAGGCCACAGCACTTGCCTGTTTGCATGAGAGCTATAGCAGGGGATGGGATTAACCAGGCAGCAGCATCCACTAGTATCTGTGTTGGGTGACAGGAGGAGACAGGGTGAAGGTTACCTGCACTAACTGGCACACATGAAAGCTGGGTCTGAGGACCACCCAGGCAAGGTTTCTTCTTTTTTTTTTGTTATTAACATTGTATTATGTGATACAATTTTATAGGCACTGGGGATTCCCCCCACCCCTCCCATACCCCTCTCCCCCCATGGTGGATTCCTCCACCTTGCTGCATAACCACAGTTCAAGTTCAGTTGAGATTCCTTCATTGCAAGCATATACCTAGCATAAAGTCCAGCGTCTTATTGTCCAGATAAGTTCAGTGGGCTCTTGGGGAGACCTTCTCTGGTCTGAAGGTAGAGCTAACAGAGTAAAGTTCCGGTCAGTTAAAAGCCCCAACAAAACCTCAGCATATAGAACTCTCCAAAGCAACCACTACACTCAATCCCTGACCTTAGGAAAAAGCACAGACCTGTGGCGCAAACCTGGAGCACATGCTGCAAGACTGGGCCACCTTGGCTGCTGACTCCTTTGTAAGAGTAGAGCACATACCAAGATTCCAGTGAAAAACCAGATAACCAACTCACCTAAGTCAGAAGAGGACCTCATCAAAAGATGGAAAGGAAGACAGGTTAAAAAATACTCCATGCTAGACTCTACAACAAGTACCTAGGTATGTGGACACACTGAGATAGTCATGGTGAGACAATAGACCTTAGTATTTCTCAGCTCTGGTGTATACAGCTGACAACCTTTCAGAACAATCAAGATTACTTAAGTAACACTTTCAGAATATTATTCCCCTGCCTCAGGATCTCCAAGGTGACATCAAATGGACAGTCTTAGTCCTTAAGTACTGATGTAGGTTGTCTACCTTACCACCATCATGACCCTGTCCACCATAATTGGTGGCTCACATGAGTCTGCAATCCCCTCACTCATGTAATATGAAAATAACAATAATAGATACACATGCATATGGCTATCCCACTTAAGTGGCCAGTTCTCAGTCATGTAGCATTTTTTTCCTTAAAATATCTCTTTTCCCTGACTTACAGGACTTCTTTGTTTCTCCTTTTCTCACAGTGGTGTCTGCTTTCTAGTGTTCATTGCTAAATTTTCTCATCTTCTTGAACATTCAATATTGCAGTATTCTAGTTTGAAATTTTTTTTCTCTGACTCCTTGGATGTTAGCATAAAGTTTCATGGCTATAAACACCATCTGATTATCTCCCACATCATACCTGCCTCCCTGACCTCTTTCCTGAAGGACAAATTCATAACCTGAACTGCCTGCTTTGTATGTCCATGTGGACATTTGAAACATACTCATGATTCATTCATTGATACCAGCTCTGCACCTCACCTCCACCCAAGACTGTGTTCTATTACTGTTAATAGCTCTAGTCTCCAGGCTCCTGGTTCAGATAGTAGCCTTTCCTTCCCACTTACAATGTTAACCTCATTAACAAATCCTGGTGGCTTCATTCTCTTTCTCAGCCAGAAGTCTGCGTTCATGGTACCAACCTGCTCAGATCTGGTGAGGCTGCTCTTCTGTGTTACAAGATGCCAGTGCCTTAGATCTCTGTGTGGTACAAAGACAGTCAGTCACCATCATGGCCTCTTCTTAGGAAGGCCCTAGCATCACACTTGAGAACTTCATCCTCATGACCAAGTAACGTTTCACAAGTCTCACTCCTAAATACCATCACATTGGGTTAGAATCTCCCCATGTGAACTTGGGCAATACAGCTTTCTGACCATTGCATTGTCTAGAGAGCTCATCAGTTCTTCTGTGACCCACCACCTACATTATTACTGTGTTAATTCAAATCCAGGCTATCCCCCTCACTACCACCACATCATCATCATCATCAACAACAACAACAGCTCTGGGTGTTGTGAATTAGATCAACATGCAGTGTATAATTCTTCTAGTACTTACTCATTCCACTAACCGCACCTTCCATCCCATGGCTCTGCTTTTGGAGCATGGTCTCTGTATTGCTGTCCCGAAATCCTTTGATCTTGGATAACTATGTGGCTCACCCACTTCCTGTCTTCACTGACACCTCTGATGAATTTTTCAATATTCATGAAAGTCATTGGCTGTTCACTTTAAAAAAAAAAAAGAATCAACTTCTCCATCTTACTGTTTCCTCTTTTCCTCCTTCTTTCAGTGATCATCACCAACTAAGAAATTGTGCATGGATTTTAAAATCTTTTTGCAGAAGCTAAAATTCTCTTTCAATTCCATGCTTCCACAAACTGAACTACCTTCCTGTAGTATATGTGTGGTACTTGTCAAATACTGGGAAATTTGTGAACTGATTTTCTGCATGAATTCAGATTTGTTATACAGCCATTAATGAGAGAGAAAGAGATGGAACAGAAAGAAGGAAATAATATGGAAATGGGGGGGAAAGGGAAGAAGCAAGTTAGTGCCAAATATGTCTCAGTCTCTGATTTTTATGTGTCCTATTTGAATATTCTTTAGTCCACCCTTTTCTGGGATTGACCAAATGATGACCTACAATCTGATTCTCAAGGGAATTGAAAAGATGGATTTTCCCAGAAAAATAACCCGACGACCTGAAGATTTGATCCGTAGGCTTTGCAGGTGAGAATGACAAGGAGTCTTGAAGACAGAGCAAAGGTTTCCCATTTGCATCTTTAAATTGCAGGTTTGCTCTTAGTACTTTGCTGAGTAGCTAAATGATATTAGACAATCCTCTGTTTTGCTGAAATTGGGGAGTTTATCTCATGTTACTGATTACAGTTTTTAAGAAATCTAAATTGTGCAGGCTGTCTTTGGGAATCATGTCTGTCTGTTATAGAGCAAAATAGAGGCACAAACTACGGATTAAAAGGTAGGTAATACATTTACAATTTTACTGTCTTGTGAGACAAATCAGCAGTAGTAATAGAGTGTTATGTGTCCTAGTCCAATCTTTATTTTAAAAGGAATACTCTTTAAAAGACCCCAAGATTTGTACTAGCTACTAAAACTAATTTGTCAGACAAAAGTAGACATCTAGATTATGTTGGTTAAAATTTATTTTAGTGAATTATTTCTATAGTTAAACTTTTTAAAAACTATTATAAAATTAACTGAAACCTAACTGTGTGTAGCCAATAGAAACTCCAGAATGTTGCCTGGATTCCAGCTTAGAAGCCAATGATGCTCTAAGAAGTTCCCTGGTTTTCCCAGGTGGGCTGGGACGGTAGCATCCTCCTGTGCATCTGGGCTTTGGGTATTTATTCACAGATTATTAAAATGACTAGCTCATATAAGGGTGTGTGTGTGTGTGTGTGTGTGTGTGTGTGTGTGCACTTCCAAACTCTAGTTCACTTGTGCTCCCACCCCGCCCAAGGAACACACTGTGTCATTTTCATTTCCGTGTATTCAGATAATAGATCTACGGTGGGAGTCCTGTGAATATTGTTGAATGAATGAATGAAAGAACCAAATGTAAATTTTAGTGTCAAATTCATTTAGGTGTAGTTATAAAAACTCTCTTAAAACTATCATTTCAGGCAAAACCCAACAGAAAGACTGGGGAATCTGAAGAATGGAATCAATGATATTAAAAAACACAGGTACTTAGTTTTTTTGTTGTTGTTGTCTAGAAAAATATAGAAGTGTATACATACTTCTGTATTCCTGGTAGTTTCTCTCAGTAAGCCAGACACATCTCTCTGCAGGTTTTATTTATTTATTTATTTTTCTTTCCCTGCCTTTCTGTCTTCCTAGATGTGATTACAGCAACTTGTTTACAAAGTGCCTTCTGTAATGCTAGACCTTTATAGATAAAATTAGAAACCAAGTTACAAAATCACATCTTAAACCTATTACAACATAATTTTTACTCACTATGATCTTTATTGTTAGCTTTTAATATCAAATTGGATTCTGTAGACTAAGTTGAAATGGACATTTTAATTTGTATATAAATTAGGATTGGTGATGGTATCAATTTCGAAAGATTGGATCAGCTAAATCAGTTATTAAATAGTGCCCGGCTAAGTCTTGCATTATGTAAAATATTTTCATTTTGCTTACAATTTGTGGATTTAAAACTGTCACTTTCAGTATATGTGTACTACAGAAAATAAATTTGATAGCTTTGTTTTTGGAAGCCATTTGAAACATTGAGGAAGCCATTTGAAACATTGATGTAATACTTTTTAGAAACGAAAATATCCTTCAGTACTTCATCCCAGATCAATATTTTCATTGATGAATTAGGATAGTATAAACCAAGTAGGAAAATAAAGAAGAAATGTGGCTGCTGAGCAAAATTGCTATTAATTTTCTTTAAAAGCAGTGGCTTAGCTTTAAAAATAAAAGCTTCCTGCACTGCTCTGTGTGTTCAAGAACTTAAAATACAGCTTTGTATTACATGTTGTAAATTCATATTGAGTTCTGCCTTCAGGGTGTGTTAGAAAGACAGGAGTCGGGGAGGGAAATTAGAAGGAAGGGAGAGATAAAGACAGACTCACACGGTGGATTTTGCAGGCATAAAATTCTTAGAGTGTTTTTAATGTTCATTGTCGTCATCTTTTTTATTGTCCCCAGTCATAAAGCTCATTACTGTCTCAAATTCTATTTTATCTTCTTCTGACCTGACTTGCTTGTATCATGGTCTCTTTTCTTCCTGCAAAGGACACATAAACATGCCATGCATATCGTGGAAACAAGGACACAATCAATGAGTCATTTTTCCAATTTATTTCCCTGTTCCTCCATTTAAGATTATGTTTGTCTCTGGGGTTGTAGGGAAATAGAAATGAAAGAATTACCAATGGGCCCCAGCTTCATCTTTTATTTCTTATTACCTGAGGCTCATTTGAATGTAGCTGTCATATTGCGATGCACACATAAATTGATGCTAAAAGATTTTCTCACCTCTGCATGGTCATAAAGAATTTTTAATTTCCGTCATTGGTTCTCCTGTTGTTGGTTATAAGCCAACCTGTCTCTGCAAGGCGCTGCAAAGCCTAGCTGCAGACTTTAGAGCAGGTTTGATTGTGAACAAGCATCTTTCAAAGGTGAAATTCATATGTCTAATAGACATATTTTTAAAAATGCTCAGGATCACTAGCCTTCAGAGAAATGCAAAATAAAACCACAGTGAGGTTTAGTCTCACTTCAGCTAGAATGGTTATTATCCAAAAAGGATGAGGACGCTGGGGGGAAAGGGACCCTATTCACTGTTGGTGGAAATGTAAACTAGTACAGCCATCATGGAAGACAGTATGGCTACTCCTCAGAAACCTGAGAACAGATCTACCAATGATCCAGCCACTGCACTGCTGGGAATTCACCCATAAGAAATACAATCAACTTAGGAGACTTATCCGTACCCTTATGAATATACTATCTCAACTCATGTAAGCTAATACATAAAATCAATCCATCTTTCCATCAACTGATGACTAGATAAATAAATTATACACACACACACACACACACACGTGTGTTCTGGAATATTCAAAAAACAATGGAATATAACAGCCGCCAAGAAGAATGATACCCTGCCTTTTGCAACAAGACAATTGCAACTGCAGACCATTATGTTAAGTAAAGTAAGCCAGTCTGAAACAGCTAATATGTTTTCGCTAATCTTTGGTAACTAATGCACAGAGTTCTGTATCATGGAACTGACATTGTGAGATTTGATTATTCACAGCTCTTGGCTAAACTCTTGAGGAACAGTGTTTTTTTTTTCTTGATATTTGTTGAATTTTTTAACTAATGGAGTATTGTACCTGCTACTTGTAAAGGGAAATGAAAGTAGATCATTGTAAAAGCTAAAAGAAAAAAGAAATAAGGAAGGAGAGTGGATAGGGAATGAAGGCAGGAAGGAGGGTAGAGTGAGAAGTACCATTTTGCTCTTACATTTGTATTATGAAATACATGAAATTAATTTACCACAAGTATATAAAATAATTTGAAAACAATTTATCTTGTTTACCTAGTGCCTTTGACTGAGCTTGAAGAGGTCCAAATCTTTGTTTCATTCAGATTTCATGGTGCTTGTGAAGCTCAAAGGGAGGAGTCTGTGATTTCAGAACAGGAAACCCTTCTCTGCCTCCAAATAGATACGTTTTTAGCAAGTCAATAATGTTTATAGAATTCCTAAAAAGCTTGCTTTTGGCATTACAAACTTCTTTCTGAAGTTGCTATCACATCTTCCTATAAAGCAATGCTGAACTTGACATTTGAAAACAAAACAGTATAGAATATTATATGAGTCCATTCATTGTGTTAAATCATGCTCTCTGGAAGTAGTGACAGAGCTCTTCCCACTTGTATTTGCAAACTAATTCAAGGTGAAGTCCCAGTTGTGTCTCCCCACACCTGTAGTAGAAACTGTGAGAAGGATCTTTCCTGGGAGGAAGAGGAATGATTTGTTTCCAGTATCGTAATATTACCTTAAGAATTTCTGAGCCTTTATTCAAGGATAGCCTGTTAGTCTTCCACGAAGGAGAAAGTTATGTATCATTGCTGTTAATATTTCTTTGTAGACTGTTCTTCACGCTGGCTCTTGCATTGGTTACATGTGGTGTGAGAGACTGAATGTTAAATAAATGGCAACTCATATTAAGTAAATACTGCCATAGGTCTAATTGTGACAAGTGAAAAATGCAAAGTAAAGTAAAGTAATGATTTTTATTATTTGTAGAGTGCCTTCTGGGCAGACAGCATTATAAGAAGTGTTAAAAGGTACTGCTGCTGAGTTTAGTGGCTCAAAAACTGTGCAGAAATCCATACAGTTGGAGCCTTACTTGGTGTGCAGTTGTGTTGGGTACATGTTGGAGGGGACTTCTGAGGTTTCCTAGCAAAGGCAGAAGAGGGAGGTACGGCAGCTGGGGTGGCTGTCTGACACTTCTTGACTGAAATTTTAGCAGCTTCCATTTAAATACCACTTGGTGTGAAGAATGGCATCGGAAATGAATTGTATCAGAGCATGCACCTTGTGTTTTCGGTAGCTGTTCATAAGCTTACACTTGTAACAGGAAACCCAGTGAAAGATTGAATTGACACCAATTCTGGAAGCAAGAAGAGGCAGAGAAACCGAGAAGAGTGAGTTCTCAGATGGCTCACACAAGGAAGAACATGACAGGCTCTCAGAAACTCCCTGCCTTCACATACACACCCCACCATCATCCTGTCCCATCCCAGATGCAGAACGTATCCATACAACAATCTCTTTAAAACTAGAGAGCATGCTTTCCCAAGAACGTTCTAATGGCTTCCCCATCACATAATAAAATTCTTGATTCCCATGTGTCCTGTGAAATCCTGAATGAACTGTCCTCTGGCTGCCTCTCAGACGTCGTTTGCACCCGCGTTTCCTGTGCATTCACACCACTTTTGCATGTTCCTCTCACCTTCTGCCGTGTGGGACACCTTTGCCACGTATCTTCCCCTTTCCTTCATTCCGGCCTGAACTCAGGTACCACTTTAAAAAGTTGCTCCTTTCGATCATTCTTTATATGTTTGTTCACCTTTACTTTTATAGGACTGACAAGTATTTGAAATGAAGTGTTTGTATTACTACTTGTTTTTTTTTTTGGTCCAACTGAGATAACGACATTTTAAGTGTAGGATCATTATAATTTTTTCATGCCTGGGATCAAGTTGAATTGGTATAAAGATTTGTTGCTTGGTTGACTGAGTTTTCCTCAATGTCCCCAGAGGATCATTATTACTCTGGGTATGGAATATTATTACTCTGTGAACTTCGTCAGATTCTGAAAGATAGTGTTCAAAAGAAATGGAGTCTCTTGATTTCTGGTGGTGTCCGTAGCACATTAAATAACATACATACTAAATAACAGATAAGCCTTGAAGATTCACAGTAAGTAAATAATAATGAAAGGACCTTAGTCATCTATTTTCACAGATTGTTGTGAAAGTCTCCAAAGGACGTAGATGACTTTGTTCATTCTGTAGAGTGGAGGTTCTTTGAATATGTCAGGCTCTGGATGCAGATACATTTTGAAGATACTGTTGAGAGGATTTTCCTATGAAATGAGGTAGGCTGTGAGAGAATACTTCACTGTCTTGAGTTTAAGAAACTAAAGGTTGAAAAAAGTTTGTTGTACAAAAATTTGGAGCTGAAAAAATGCTCAATGCCTGTTGCTCATGCTACTGGCAGATGATGACTGCTTGTCACAGATATGTACCCATAAATCAATGGAGAGGTCTTGGCTAGAAAGAGACATAAAACCTTAAGGCTAAATATGATTACCTGAAAAGTGGAGTTAGTTGAAAGGGCACCTAAGGATGGAGCCTTGAACTATGCCAACCTCGTTAGAAAAGAGCCAATGAGTAAAGTATTCAACAAAAAGGAAGAAACCTGGACAATTTGTTTATAAAACCAAACCAAGAAAATGTTTCAGAAGTGAGTCTGGTGACCTGTTGGAAATGGAAGTAGTACATCAAGTAAGGTGAGGACTGAGTATTGAGGTGTGGACTGCAGAGTATGAAATCTGAGTGTAAAGTGTCATCAAGACAAGACTAAGTAGATGACGTCATTAGACAGCTCAGGTAGTTTTCTTCTAATGGGAAGGAGTGAGATTGTAGAGAAACTCAGGACAAGGGAGGGTGTTTCGTTGTTGGAAGAAAAGAAGTGTTTCTATGTGGATATGTTGTTCCAGTAGGGAAGGCCCTGAAGATTCAGGAACAAGGACTGTAGAAATATGTTTTTGCATAGAGAGAGTTAATGTAATCAAATATACAGTACAGAAATTGATCCTAGATAGTAGCCAGGGAAATTGGTTCATTATATGGAGAGAAGGTCACTCACAGATGTGGGTAGGTGAGCAGGGATGCTGGTGGGAGATTATGAAAAATTTTGTTTTGCTTAAGTTATCTCAAAGAAATAGGAGGTTAAATCTTTGTAACTGAATACTGAAAGGGAACTCTGGAAGTCTAGAGAGAGGGGACAGAGGATGAATTAATTAAGGGAGTATGGTAGGTAGGAAAATCCATAATCAGCTGCTTTAAATACTCACTTGAGGTAGTAGGCATGGAGTTAATGTGAGAACAGACAACCAAGATGACTGTTTTCCTCCGGTGACTTGCAGCTGCACTGTTGTAGGCAAGGGAGTAGGCCACAAGTTTAGGTGACAGGTTATTCAACATAATAATATTGCACGAGGCAAGTAATTTGTCTCTATTTTTCCAATTTCTCAGGTGGTTAAATGGCTTTAATTGGGAGGGACTGAAAGCAAGGACTCTTCCCTCGCCTTTACGAAGAGAGGTAAAGTATTGACTATTTTACTGTTGACTCTGTGGAAGAGTGGGGTTTGTTCTGATTAGTTGATTTTAGGGAGTGCCACATCCATGTCTATAGACACATGTAGATTTTAGGTGGCTTGAAACAGTTTTTTTTTTAACTATTACAAACGATCATAGGAATTATTATTGCAGGGTTAAATAACATTGCCTGTTTAATGGGTATTAGCTCACTTGTCAGGAACCTTCTATATGTCTCAGAATAGTTAGTGTTGATCAGGTTGACAGATAAATCCAGAAATAAAATGTGACCTACATAAAAGAGAACTCAGAAAGTCCATTAACATCATGCTGGTGCCAAAAAAAGAAAAAAAGAGAGAGAGAGAGAGAGAGAGAGAGAGAGAAAGAGAGAGATCTGTGCATTTTTAAAAAGAACTTTTTGAAGATCACTCCTACATAGTTTAGAAAAATGTTTTCTTTGTTTATTTGAAAATCAGAATTAGAGAGATGGGGAGCCAGAGAGAGTGAGAGCTCTTCCATCCACTGGTTCACCCCCAGAGGATAACAATGGCAAGGGCTGTTCCGGCCAAAGCGCAGGAACCAGGAAAGTCATTTGGTTCTCCACAATACCTGCTCCTCCTACATAATGCTAAATTTTCCACTAACCGTATTTTTAAAAAGGTAAAAAATAAATGAATAAAATTAAATCCTTTAATGCTGGAGTCATGTCATTAACAGAGTCATTGATAAATGTACTGTCTCTTGTTGGATATTCTGACTGCTTCACATAGATCAATTAGCTTTGAGAAAATTTTAAAAATTTTAATAAAGCAGAAAAAGGATTCTGGTAAGTTTGTTTTTTTAGTATTTGCTTTTCAATATTTTTAATTTGAAAAAAATGACATAATTTTTGTCACCTTTTTATTATTTTTGCAAAATACTCCTCATGTCAAGTAGCTCCTTTCAAATATACTCTAGTAAACAAATATTTTCAGGTTTTTTTTTTTAGAAAAAATTTAATTTGGGGAGAGTGCCATAACTCAACAGGCTAATCTCCTCTTTGCAACAGTGGCATCCCATATAGGTGCCAGTTTGTGTCCTGGCTGCTCCACTTGCCATCCAGCTCCCTGCTTGTGATCTGGGAAAGCAGCAGAGGACAGCTCAAAACCTCGGGACTCTGCACATATGTGGGAGACCTGGAGAAAGCTCCTGGCTTCAGATTGACTCAGCTCTGTCTTTTGTGGCCATTTGAGGAGTAAACCAATTGCTGAAATATTTCTCTTTCTCTGTCTCTCCTGTCTGTAAATATGCCTTTCAGATAAAAAAAATAATATGTCTATTAAAAAATTTATTTTGTTGTGGACAAATTTTACATATTCTGCATGCACAGATTTAGCAGCGTGGTGGCCGACCCCATTCTTCCTCCCACTTACCCTCCCACACTCTTTCCTCCTTTCTTCCTTATTTCTTTCAATATTTATAACATATTTTCAACTTATTTTAGAATCGTATACTTTGCCTCCTACTAAGCAAAGATTTTTTAAAAAACATCAACATTCCTCAAGAGATGGATAAGGATTGTAACAATAATCAAATCTCAATGTGTCAATTTCCCTCACATAATCACATTTTTTTGTTACCACAAATCATGGAAAAGATATTACACTGGCTTATTCACTAAGCATAATCATTGCAAAAGGGACAGCTTATATGGCTGATCACAGGGTGATGATTTGTCGTTTCCCCTTTGTGTGAGCTACAAGTGGTTGCAGGGTGAAACCAGCACTCAGTCAGACAAGGCAGTGCCCAGATATGGTAGCATGCAGAGTCAGCATTCTCGTCACTTACGTTTCAATCCTTTCTGTGTTAGCTCAGTGGACCCATTGATCACAGCTACTTTGACAAGTATCCTCCTGAAAAGGGAGTACCTCCAGATGAACTTTCAGGCTGGGATAAAGACTTTTGACAGAAGAAAGCATCATGACTGCCTAACACCACATAAGAAGAATCAACGGATCAATACCCAACCCCGTTTATTTCTCTCTTCAGAGCATTTACAGTGTACTTTGGAAGACCGTTATGGGGAAGAGATCTTTGCAAAGGGAATTGGGCATGTTGGTAGGGATGTGGTTCTGACCTATAATGTCTCCTTTAGATGCTGGGAATTATTCGTGTATTTCATTCTCTGCTCTTTTTAAAGGGTGAAATCTATTCCATTCACCTTTTCACAGCCAGACCCATATTTGGTGAAGTATAGTCTTCTCTGTAATTCTTTGCTTTAGTATTACTCTTTTCCTTTTGGTCCTGATAGGGGTTTAAAGTGGTCTTGCCATTGAACTGCTAAATCCTGCAAGTAGGGAGAAAAATGAGAGAGCAACTTGGAAGATTTCTCTAGATCGAAACAGCTCCACTTAGATCCTGACATCTTGAAAGTGTGGTTTGCGCAAATCACGGTTATCAGTACAAACCCTTGATTTCTATGTGCATTCAGCCCAGGAAAACGTTAATGTGCCTCTTATACCTCTCTGAGAAATGGCAAATTGGAGCATCAGTCCATAGTATCTCATCCTAAAGTAAACAAGTCAATTAATCCAACCGTATAATTATGTTCTATTGGGGAACTTAAAAAAATAAGCAAAAAGTTTGTTTTCTTTCTGCTATGACAAGCTATGATACTACTGAGGTATCTTGTTCAATGTGATTGTAAGGTCTGGTTAAATCATGCGCCTTTGGAAAAGTTTTACTGTCTATTTTAAAATGTCTCTGCAATCAAAGTAAAAAATAAGTGGGAACACAATTGTAAAGGCGTTCCCTTGCCATTACATATAGAAGAGAATGAATTTTAATGGATAAAGTTGGTGACACCTTGAAAGCTAGCAATGTTTTGGTCAATTCTGTGATTACTGCTATTAGTAAACAAACATAAAAAGAGTGCAAAGCTCAGGTTAAGTGTTAATGCAAAGCTGATTGGGGCATGTTGGTGCACTGTGATGACCACTGAGTTGTGAATTCTAAAGACACTGGAGTCACAGACACGTTTGTCATCTTAAACTATTATGGCAAGCAAACCAACCAGAGAAGTGGTGAGTTTGGAAAGACCTTCCAGTATCTTCCCTCCTCCTTGCAGTCTTCTAAAAAATCAACAGGAGAGCCTCAGTAGTGTTGGAACCCAGCCGTAAGAACTGTGGTAGGAAAGTATCCACTATTTGTTGACCAGGACCATTTCCTTATCTAATTTCAAAATGGGTGGTCGCAAAACTTTCTCCATCATTTCCCTCAGGCAGAGTGAAATTAACACAGAGGTTCATGCACTATTCATGCTTTGGGCTACATTTTTGTAAGCTGTTGTTCTGTGTGCAAAGCAGCCTCTGCTGGGTTCCCATCTAACATTTTACCATGCAGGAAAAGTTAGGTACACATTCCTGGAGAAGTTAAATGAGATAAGGGAGGCTCAAACAAGGGGGTGCATCATTCATAGCTTGAATTTTCATATTTAGAATCCATTTGCTGAACCAAAGAGCTTTTGTTTCCTGGAGTAATATTTTTAAAGATTAAGCACTGTACATAGCAGAATCATTTTTAATAGGATTAACATAACCTGCTTCAAGAATTTCTAAGAATTTTTAAGGATTTTTATTTGCATTTGGTTTATTTGTATTGTTTTTTTTCCATGTATATATTTTAAAATTACCAACCTATATTGGTAGGAAATATATGCATTGGAATGATATTAGAAATGTACAGTTATAATAGAAATGCTATTTTCAGAGGAGCTTAATAATTGTAAGTTTTAAAACTACATATATAGGTCCCGCCGTGGTATCCTAGAGGCTAAAGTCCTCACCTTGCACATGCCAAACTCCCATTTGGATGCGAATTTGTATCCTGGTGGCCCTTCTTCCCTCCCATCCAGCTCCCTGCCAGTGGTCTGGGAAAGCAGTCAAGGACGGCCTGAACCCTGGGACCCTGCACCTGCGTGGGAGACCCGGAAGAAGCTCCTGGCTCCTGGCTTCAGATCGGCTCAGCTCTGGCTGTTGCGACCACTTGGGAAGTGAATCAGAGTACAGGAGATCTTCTTCTCTGTCTCTCCTCCTCTATCTATATCTGACTTTCTAATAAATAAATAAATAAATTTCCAAAAACACAATGAAACAAAATATATAGAAATAAAAATCAATTCAAGGTAATACAGGTTTATTTTGCCTATGATTGGCTGTATCAATGTATGATTGTCACATAGGAATTTTGTGTGTGTGTCTGTTCAAGTACTTTATGCAGATGAGTAAATGAGAGAGAGATTAAATCGTTATAAAATCCTAACTCTATCTGTGTGACATTGGGAAATTTCCTGGCCTTTTTGAGTAGAAGCTTTTCTATCTATAGCTGAATTTATAACAAAGTAGCACCAGTTTTAGAGACATGTGTTGAGAACTATACAAAATGTTTAGTCATTTGCCTGGTATCTGCATAGTAATGAATGCTGCACAGATGAGAGCTATGGTTAAAATTAAAGGGGCCTTAATAACCATTCATTTGTTAAAACTTTATGTATTAATGTTATCTGTATGTAGAACTGTACTAATTAAATCCAATATTTGTCTTTCTTTCTTTTTTTTTTTTTTGAAATAAGTAAAAAGTGTTGGCCAAACTTGGGGTCAATGTCAACAAAATGAGGTTTTTATTAGGATACCATAAATTTACTTACTGTGACTTAAGGAGATACACACAAACATGGAAAACTATCCCCAAATGTACAGCCTCAAATATTCCTAATCATTGTCATTCTTAATCTCTCTTTTCTAAGGAATAAAGTTAATTTTTCATTCTCAAGCTTCTTCGATGTGGGCTCAAAGTTTCATAATTGTAATGTCTTAATATTTTCAAAATATCAAGATGTCTGGAAGAAACAGAAGAAGGGAATATCATGGTAAAAGATAATATTTGGAGTCAGGAAAAATATGTTTGAATTCTAGTTCTGACCAGACTCCCATGACATTGAACCTTAAATCATGCCTTCAGTCATTTGTAACATTGTGATACACACTTTAAAAACTTGAAACTTTGGACCAAAATATTATTTCTACTAGACTGCTGAAAATAATTTAGAAATAAACATCTGTATGTATTTCTTTGGACATCATATTAACCCCTGTTCTTTGTTGCCAGAAATTGTAGTAGGAGTGTTTATGTATATGATCTCATTCACACAGGATTCAATAATAATTATAAACATGCTGACCACTGATTGCATTCAAAGTGAAATATTGGCCTCAAGTATGCATTTCATTTATAGTTTGGCTGAGATTGTGTTACATGACCTTAAAACAATTTATTTCAAAACTTAGTCACTGAAAACAGCCATTCTGTTATTTTCCAAGATTCTGTGGGCTAAAGAATTTGTGAAGCATATAACAAGAAAATTTTTTCATAGCACCATAATACCTGGGGCATCAGGTAGAAAGACTTAAAGACTGGGAGATGATTCGATGGCTGTTGATTGAATTATGTCAGGTCTTACTGACAAATGTGGATACCTGGGTTAAGACTACACAGGACCCAGGACTGTGGACCCAGAATTCTACATTTGTCTTCTCCATGGCTTGGATCTTCATACACTGACAACATTAAATCAGAAACATTTCATGTTATTGCAGGGTTTCATGAACTGATTATTCTGGCCAGCAAAGCAGAAGCTGTACACACCGTTCTTTGTAAGTTACCTTTAGAAGTCATATCTACCCTACCCAACTGTTAGAAGCACAACCTTATCTAGACGGAGAGAAGGGAACATAAGCTTGATATTTTACTGAAGACAATTTCAAAGACTTTGAAAGCAAGTTTTAAATTTACCACAATCCGCTATTTGGCCACATATTATCTACATTATTCCCATAAGCAAAACAAATTCATTCCTTCCAATTAGCCTTCCTAAAGTTATCATCAACTCAAGCTTAAGGTCTAAGATCTTGTCATTTAAATCCGATTTCATGTGAGACTGAGGAATCTCATGAATGATTCTTTGCATGTCGTTTCTGGGGAGTCTGTGTGCCATGAAACCAGTAAAGACGTTGTTGTCTTCCTGAGTGCACAATACCGAATGAAGAAATGAGCAGAGAATAAACACATAACATGGAGAGAGGAAGAAGTTGAGAGGCATAAACCAACTACTAGCCTATGCTAATCTTAAAAAGTTCCCAATTGTCTTCTCAGGACTCATGTTTTTAACTCTGGTTAATTGTCTTTATATAGCTTTTGCCTGTGCCTTCTTGCATCTTGATTCTGCCTTCCAAGTTATTCCTTCTCTACGATGTACAGCCAGGATTTGAAAATGGATAGATATATTTCTTGATCAGTTTCTTGTTTGTAAAAAAATTGGATGCTACAGGCCAACACATTAGTTAATCTTCTACTTGTGGTGCTGGTATCCCATATGGGCACCAGTTCATGTCCTTGCTGCTCCACTTTCAATGCAGCTCTCTGTTTATGACCTGGGAAAGCAGACAAGGATGACCCAAGGTCTTGAGACCCTGCAACCACATGGGAAATTCAGAAGAAACTCCTGGCTCACAACTTTGATTGGCCCAGTTCTGGCCATTACAGCCATTTGGGGAAATGCATCAGGGGATGGGAGACTTCTCTCTATTTGTCTTTGCCTCTCACTTGTAACTCTAACTTTCAAATAAAATAAATCTTTTTTTTTAAAAGATTTATTTTTTTTATTGGAAAGGCAGATATATAGAGAGGAGAGACAGAGAGGAAGATCTTCCATCTGATGATTCACTCCCCAAGTGAGCGCAACGGCCGATACTATGCCGATCCGAAGCCAGGAGCCTCTTCCGGGTCTCCCACGCGGGTGCAGGGTCCCAAAGCCTTGGGCGTCCTCCACTGCTTTCCTGGGCCACAGGCAGGGAGCTGGAGGGGAAGCAGGGCTGCCAGGATAGAACCGGCGCCCATATGGGATCCCAG